CGTTATGAATCAGGTTCTTGAAGTTGGGATGAGTTTTAATGTCCAAGAAGACGTTTCCAGAATCAATTGAGTAAGTAGTTAGGCTTCATGAGATAGGTTATCACTCCGAACCATCATCTGATAAACGCCTGCGAATTCGGCCTTGACATGCGAGCAGATTGAATCCGCCTGTGACGCTGTATCTGTTCAGTATCGGCGTAGCCTGCCAGGCGGGGTCTCACTTACCCCTCCCCCGCAGTGGGGGAAAGCTGAAATGAGACAGCGTTTCCAAAAGACATTCATCGGGTGGCCTCTCGGATTGAGTATCCGAGACTCTCATCTTTTTGGACCGCGAAGCGACTGAGATTTTCGTACCGATTTGGCACATTTTTCTCTTTCGGGTCTCAGTTGGGAATGATCATGTCAGAGCAGTGAAGCTCAGAGTGGTCGGGGAGGCCTTCCTCATAGAATTTGCGTAACCAAACGAGGACAGTAGCGAGTCTTCGTAGAGGAGATGGAGAATGAGGGGCCAAGTCCACACCACCACATTGCGATTCGGAGAGCTTGCTCCCTGATTTAGGCACTCGTCCCTCAATTGAAGCTGAATCGGAGTCCTCTAACTAGATTAACCTCACTGGAGCATTGAGATAATGAGTGAAATCTGATTTGACGGAAAGGATCGAAGCCTGATGGTGAACACTTCTCTTTGGGCCGGTAACATATGAAGGATTTCATCCGATTTTGACTGGATGATCCGGCTTTACGATTGTATGAGATATGCAATTCATTTTGTTCTTGGTTTATGTACCGCCATCTAGGGCCACGCATCGACTGCTCATCGCTTAAGCTCACTGTGCTGAACCTTGGGAGCTTCCCAAGACACAGCTTTGGGGATCTCCTCCTCCAAACTCTCGCCTGCCGGCGCCCAACCCAGTACCTTCTTGGCCCTAAGTGCCTCGCTGCGAGCATTCGTTCCAAAGAGCACCGTTCCGTGTGGCAGCACCTTGTTCGCTTCCTCGGGTCCAACTTCCTCCACCTCATCTTCTGAAATGAGACCCTTCTTCGCAGCAGCGGAAGCGACCAATTTCGAGATTTCACCAAACGACTGTGAAGCATGTCTGTTAGCTGGTGCAAAGGAAGGATTTGAGCCCAGAGTTATCTTCACTCACAATTTCACCAACACCAGTGAGATACAGTCCATTCTCGTTCCAAACCTCGCCCTCGCCCTTCTTCTCCGCAGCTCGCTCGACAAGCCGGGCAATCAACTGTGCAACGTCCTCAACATGCACATTTCCCCAGCGACTTAGGCCCTTGCCGACCTGCACCCCGCGACCGCGGTCCAGCGTGGCTTTCGCCAGCGACGGGATCTGCACGCTGCGCTGGTTGACGGGGCCGAGTCCCCGGCCGTAGATGATGGGCGGGAACACCAGTGCCGTGTTGATCTTGGGCTCATCGGCGGCGACTTTGAGGAGGTAGTTGTCGACGGCACGGGTCGGGTATTTTTGGATGAAGGATCGCAGGTCGTCGATTCCGGTCAGGTCGTTGAAGACCAGGTCGCTCGCCGAGCCTGGACTGCGGGACTTGTCGGCGAGTTCTGCTGCGGCAAGTGCGCTGGCGCCAGAGATCTGGATCCAGTGCGCTGCGCTAAGATGTTAGCATCATTGACCGTAGCTCCTGAGTGTAAACTGGATGAAGAAAAGGCTGCGTAGACTTACATGGCTTCTGCTCTGCCGACTTGGACGATAGGGCCTTGTGGATGGTCTCAACGCTCTTCAAGTGTCCAGACGCAGCCAGATCTGGCATTGGTGTTAGCGAATTCAGCTCGTGAGGCCGCTATGTGGCAGAACCAAAACATACGGACAACGACATCGGCATTGGAAGCTTCTCGAGTGATGGTCTCAACATCGTCAAGATCACCCTCGACGATCTCGACCTTGCTGAAGGCGCCGGTGATAATCTTGCCCTTGGCGCTGTCGCGGACTAGCGCTCTCACAGCGTACTCGGGGTGCGACTTGGCGAGCAACGAGAGGACGCTGCCGCCAATGTAGCCCGTCGCTCCGGTCCTGGAGGCTTTCTGTGAGCACGGAGCACTTACACGGGCTTATTTCACTGAGCTTCATTTGACTTACAGGAAGATGTTAACCATTCTGTCTAAATTTTGCTATCCTCTGCGCTGAAATCTTTCCGATTGAGTGTTGGAGATGAGTGAAGAGTTGATAATGGCGATTCGGAACTTGAGGATCTAAGGAGGCATCACATGGAAGTATATAAACCACTCGCAACCTACTCGCGCTGGCCTTCCAAACAGGGGTTGAAGCTTGGAGCAGATTACCAATCTCTTCCAGTGGACGAGAGCAGTGAAGCTGCCAAGCTGCCCCACGAATTACACAATGCGCTACTCCATCGCGTCACTCCAGCTTGTTTAAACATTGACGCCAATTGCCAATTAGCGATGCTATCTTGACTACAGACGACCCACCGAAGGGTGTGCTAATGTATGATTCTGTCTTCGAGAACGGTCTTTGTGAGTCCTGCTTATAGATCAATCGTTTTATCCATGTTCGAGACGTGTCCCTGGCCATGGCTGAGCCTATGATAGCCGCTTGAATACCCCTTCCAACACATCGAGGAAAATATCGGCTATCGATCGCTACTCGTCAGTCTCCAAGCGTACTCTAGATTATCAATTCCTTGGGTATTGACTTACCATGATGCTTCTCGAACACCAACATCGGCCGTAATCGGACTGCAGCATCGCCGCTGCCACCCATGTTCACCCCCTTCGATTTAGCCAGGGCCAAAACCTCTTCCCTCCGTGGACAATCCCACGCAATGAATGTCCCGCGATCCTTGCCACGAAGGTTCAATACGTGCTGCGGGTACTTGTCCGCCAGCGCCTCCAGCTCCCGGTACAGGTACCCGCCGACCCGCGCCGTTCGCTCAACCAGCCCGTGCTTCTCAATCTCTCCGTAAATCGCCTTGAACAGCAGCGCTCGCACGGGATCGCCCATCCAAGTATTGAACTGGCGGTACGGCTTGTCAGGCCGTAGACCAGCGTCGCCAAAGTAGAAACCCGCCGCCTGTGCCTTCTTTGAGAAGGTGACCATGTCTGGCGGAGAAGGGAGGTTCCAGTGCTCGTGGGCCCAGAATTTGCCTGTTGCACCTACTCCTGTTTGAACTTCATCGACGATCATCAACACGCCCTTACGCTTGGTAAGCTCCCGAAGACCACGGAAGAAGGCGGGGGATGCGTGGTTGTCGCCGCCCTCGGCTTGGACAGGTTCAATGACCACTGCCGCGACTGTGTCGTTGGCCTCGTCCAGCACACGCTCTGTTTCTTCGAGGCACCTCCTCTCCTCGGCAGCATTCTCAGATGCGAATTGGTCAAGGGGGTACTTGAGCTGCGGGAAAGGAGCCACAGGCCAGTCGAAGGCCGGCACATCGAGTTTGTGGATTGGTTTGCTCCTCGTCGTGGATAAACTTCCAAAAAGACGGCCGTGGAACCCCTTCGAAAATGACATTATCGAATACTTCTTCGCACCAGGCGTTTGGTTGCGCATGACAGACTCCAGCTCAGCAGTGCTGAAATCCCTGCCACCGCGGTCCCGGGTCCCCTTCCAGATACAGGCGGCCTTGTATGCTGTCTCGTTTGCGTCCGATCCGGTGGTTGCCGTGAAGACTTGGTTTAGACCTTGCGGTGCGGCTTTCAGGATGCCGGTCTTGAGGAGGTCTGCATAGTCTGTTGATGGAAAACTTCCAAGTGCTGGCCGGCTGGCGATGGCACGGACCATGGCTGGGCTTACAGAGGCGCGGTTGAGTTCTGGGTTATTGTATCCCAGCGGAATCGAGGCGATTTGAGCAAATCTATGCATCAATCAGACGTAATTCGTCAGTTCTTTACTGGTCTATACGTGGGAATGAGGATCCTCGCAATACATACACATCCAAGAATGTGTTACCATCAGCATCGACAAGACTTCAGAATTCCATCAGCATCATAGATATGCAGACGAGGCGAACGACATGCGAATTTGACTCACTAATTACCTGTTGACCTCTCGTAGTCAACCAAAGTGTTCGCACTCCTGGTGTCAAAAACTTCCTCCAACTCTGCAAGACCGTCCTTTACCTTAGGTCCGGGAAGTGAGGATGTCACTAGCTTTGGCCTAGAAGGCTCGTTCGAGAAGATGGCAGCTGCGCGGTTGCTTGATGTAGCCGAGAATGTCCGCATGCCAGCGACAACTCGAGGCCACTGTCGGACTGCAGCGACCAGTGTGAGTGATCTAGGGTGCCTGAATTCCATTGCGACTTTGTTTAAGTCCTTTCACATGTACTGTGAACGTTTTTCGAGACGGAAGATTGATGATAAAATACTTGGTTTTATTCTGAGGTACAGTCCTGACACTCGACTTACACGCATGTGTCACGGACCACCTAAGTTCTCGCGAAGGCATTCCCATCATACTGTTCAGGCAGCACAACACGTCCAATTACACCACAATCAGATCCCCATCTCTTACCTTCCGGCCGTCAGACGTCTGCGGGTACTGGGAAGGAAAAGCCATAACTAAAGCTTGAGATTCATTCTAGTGACTGATCCGGCATTATCCTAGCGGAATGGACCCTACTATCGGCCGTGGAGTCTCCACCCCGTTAGCGCCGATACGTACCGATTCATGTCGCGGAAACCTTCCCAGATGATTTTGGCAGGAACAAAGATTGACTACACTTGGCATCCACGGATACCGACGCCGAACTGTCCACGCTTGATGAACAACATCCCTATCGCCCAGCTGGCCTAAGCTATTCCGCCGATGTCGATGCATACGTAACGGCAAATTCGTCTTGTGTCGCTCGTCGGCTTCTCTTTAAGTCACGCAAGAGCACGAGAGAATCGACCCATCGGGAACACAAGCCTGATGTGTTATCCCTCTCAACTACAATCATCTCCTACGTGCCAAATCCAATCAAACAGCTTGATCACCAGCCCTGAACTTCGGTTCCCTGCATCATCTTCGAGAATGCCTGCCCGTCCGGCCACCAGAGGGTCCAAATCCGGGGTAAAGCCGCCTCCTCCAAAAGGAAAGCCAACAGCGAAGACGAGGACCACCACCGACAGCGCTGCCCCAACAAAGAAGGTCCCTCGCTCAAGAACGTTCACAGGCTGCCGCACATGCAGAAGTCGCCATCTAAAGTGTGATGAGGCCCGCCCAGTATGCTCATCCTGCCGCCGCCTCAATCTCGTCTGCGAGGGCTACGATGGCCAGCTCCTGTGGGTTCCGGACCCCCTGTGCTCCGCCGAGCAGAAGCACGCTCATCGCGGCACGTCCTACCGGTACCCGCTTTTCACTGAGGAGGAGAGAAAGACGATGAGTGTCGAGATTGTGACGAGCATGGGGCGCCAGTCTGCCGGCGATATTGTTCTGGATCTCGACGAGAAGAGCGTTCATAGGGACGATGCGCATGTAGCTGGTCCGTTTGGTGTGTTTAGGGCCTTTGATGGCTCTCCGGATGCTGGATCGTCGCCGTTGCAGCATTCTTTGTCTGAGAGCTCGCCTAATACCTCGCCATCCGATGCCTTGCCAGAGACGGTGGACGGCGAGCTCGATGAAGATACCGAGGAGGTTGTCATCGAGCCTTGGTCCGTTGACGATAACTCCTTAGCTCTAGAGCCATATTTCTTACCTGGACCGTTCGACAACTTCAGCACCGAAGGCATGATCAATAACATGAGCCAGCCGTGGATGCATGGCGAAGGGTCGGGAAGTTTGTCTCACATGATGGCAATGGACAACTCTGCACTAGATCTTTTCTTTTCGCCATTATCCCCGCGCACGCCAGCAATGGCTCATACCGAGCTTGGGCCAGCGGAGGATACAAATAACCGACGCCAGAACCATGATAGGGTCCAAACCCATATAGAAGAACCGGCCAGTCCTTCGACAGACGAGCAAGACCTGTCGATCTCGCGCAAGCTTTCTACACCCTTTACTAACAATATGCCGGCAATCGAACCATGCTTGCCGTCACATGCAGCTTCCCTCTTACGATACTACAAGACTATGGAATCGTCGTCGTCCGTCAAGGGTATGAGGATATCACCGTGGCAGCTCTGGCTCCTGCCTTGCGCTCTAGAAACCTTTGCGGAACTGTCTCTCTGGAACACGACTTCGCATACCCGTCACAGTATCTTGTGTACGTTGCTAGCAAAGAGCGCCTTTCATATGCATCAGTCTTCGAACAAGGAAAGCCAGAAGTCAACAAGACAGTGGCTGGATATTGGACAGAACTATCAAAAGAGTGCCCAGTCGCATCTCAAAATGGCTTTACAAGGCGAATCTGATGAACCAAGTCAGGCCAAATACAACGAGATCCTCATGGCTATTCTTGCTACAGCCATGGTATCGGTAGGTACACTCTAAAACACACGATACCACTTGAATCTTCTAATGCCATTCAGGTTCTCTATAATGGATCCCGCGCAGTAAAGATCTTCCTCCTCGATGCCGAACGCCTGATCCGTCTCCGCGGCCTAGCGATGCCCAAATCCTTCCACGTCCGCGTCCTACACCATGTCTACACACACCTTCGCGTTATTGCAGAGAGTACAGACATTGCTATAGACTCTGCAAAATCCCAAGCGCAGGCAGCAACCGAGATGGCGGTGTCGCTCCGCAAGTTCCGTATTGCAGAAGATTCTCTCGGCGCCGACCTCGACCTGTCACGGGAGAAGCCCGCAGAGGTCGGCTACGCGGATATTCATCTAGATGTTTCTGGCCACTGGCCTGTGACGATGTACCCAGAGATCTATGGTGTGCCAGAGTCACTGATGACGCTGCTGTCGCAGACCATTAGCTTCGCCAATGAAAAGACCAAGCTGGAAGCCATGGCTATGTACGACCACCGCATCTCAATGGCCTTGTCGCGCCATATTAAACAATTGGAGCAGAATATCTGGTCCTGGTCACTGGGATCGTCGGATATGCAAAGTGGGCCGAGTCGTCCTCGGGAACTCGTCACTCAAGAGACGAAGCTCGTAGACCATCCTATCATCCGATATCTGACGCTTGCCATGCACCAGGCACTTATCATCTACTTTTACCGTCGCGTCTACAACATGAGCGCAATGGTAATTCAGGATTCTGTACGTAAGACGCTGGATTTCATTCAGCCGTGCCTTGAAGAGACAGCGGACGATCACGACTTTGCGACGAGCATAGGGTGGGCAGCTTTCATTGCTGCGTGCGAGGCTACAACGCCTGATTTACAAGAGATGGGCCTCAAAGTGCTTCAGGCAATTGATAATAGCGGCGTGATATTTGGTACGGATAAGCCTAGTGTTTTGGCCCAGAGTGTATGGGATAAAAGGACGGAGACCGGTGATTGGACTTTGAGCTGGCCGGACATGATGAATACTATTCCGAGGTGAATATATGTACATCAGCAGACTCCATGATGTAGACGATTAACAATGTGCAACTATAGCGTTTGAAACTTTTCTGTATTTAGGATTCAAAGTCCCAACCTTTCTCAAGAAAGCTATGCGAGCTCGCCCATCGACCAAAATTCCTCTGCCTTCGATGGGAGCTAGGGCGTCGATAGGATTGGCCAAAAAGCTGCATCATGAAGCCGCGTCGAAGAATCTATCCGAGGAAGCTGGGGGGTTAATTTTAGCGTGCCGATTTCTGTGAATAATAGCAACCACATCGAGCCTTGTTGAAACCTGCAAAGACACTAAGGGACATCGTACAAAGAAGCCGCCAAGACACGATCTGGGCATTGATCAAACATTTACTTCAATTTATCTACTAGTAAAGTACTCTACACAACAACCTCGACGCACGCATCCTTCAACAACTGCGCAAGCTCCTTGCGCCTCTCGCCCTCAAGCAGCTTAAACGGCTTGCGCATTCCTCCCGTCTTCCACCCGCGCAACTCCATGCCCGTCTTCACAGCCGCGCCGTAGTTGTCTCCAGGCGCCTCGAGGAACTTGCAAATAGGGAAAATCTTGGCCCACAGCTCCCTACCCTTGGCCAAATCCTTCTTCTCCCCCAGTGCTTCCCACAGCTGCGACGACAGCTCGGGGATGATGTTTGTCGCGCCCCACACGGAGCCCTTTGCGCCCGCGGCCAGGCCATAGAATGTGAGGGTGTCCCAGCCGTTGAAGGCGGTTACCTTGGAGGAGGTTGCTTCGGTGAAAAGCATGTCTGTCAGGGCGGGCGCGTTGCCGGAAGTATCCTTCAGATGTGTGACGCCAACTTCGGACAGCGAAGCAATCTCCTCAGGAGAGAGCGAAACGCCGCTGGCGGAGGGGATGTTGTAGTACATAATCGGCAATTTGGACTCGTCGTGAATCTCCTTGAGCAGCTCCTTCAACTGTACCAAGTTGGGCGCATCGTAAAACGGCGGGACAACCATCAGCGCGCTGGCGCCGACTGAGGCGGCGTAGATGGCGTGCTCGACGGCCTTTGCGGTGGAGAGATCGCCGATGCCCGCGACGACGGGGACTCGGCCGGCAGCAGAGTCGACGGACTGCTTGACGAGGATTTTGCGCTCTTCGGTGGTGAGGGCTGTGAACTCGCCCGTGCTGCCGCCGGGGACGAGGCCGTGGACGCCTGCGGCGATCATGCGTTGGATGTGTGCATCGAGGGCGGCGGTGTCAATTTCTTTTTGGTCGGGGGTGAAGGGGGTGATTAGGGCGACGAGGACGCCTTTGAGGTCGCTAGCAGTCATTTTGAACGTGTTATTCAGGTCGTTAGAGTGGTTTGAGGCTTTGCAGTAATTGAGAATGTTGTGCGGTGAACCGTAAGATAAGTTCTGCTGCAGAAAGACCAAGCTAAACGTTGATGTAAGGACTTGATTGATACTGCAATGTAAAGATTCAGGGCCTATTGAGCTTGGGATGCCAACGTCATATAGCTGCCAGTTTCCCTGGGTGTTTGTTTAATTTCAGCGTGTCAAAGATTACAAACGCAAGCCGGCTTCTCTTGCTTCGTACCTTGCGGATAGCTACACGCGCAAACCTTCTCTATTATAGCACAAAGACGACCGGAAGCGCACCCGATAACTCGAAGTATAACCAATTCGAGCAGGCCTGCCTCTTCTGTCACCTGTGCCCCTCACAACGGCTCTGGAAAAGGGATGTGAGGATGGCGGGGTAATTCGAATCGAGCGAAATAAGACGGCACCGCGGGGTCAGCTCCGGTCCCGGGGATCCACAATGCCCCGCGGTGACTGTCTCCAAAATCGCTGTCTTGATCGAGATACCGCGGGGTAGGTCCGGGCGGTAGAGTGGATCCCGTCGCGGAGGCCTTCCTGTAGGAGGCCGGCTTGGCCTGACTATGGTGTGTGTGGCGCAGAAACGGCCATCTGCTTCACACCATCACCAAACAGGACAGCCATTCTGCGCTCGAAAGGGACGACCAACATTGGGGTTTCATTGATACCGGTACAATAGGATTCTGGACGCAGCAATGCGTCCCAAGGGACACTAACTTCGTCATCCAGGGTCTCGTAGGAGTCAGTGTCTTTTTGCGAAGCTGCGTGGCGCTTGCAGATCCAGGTTGGGTGGCAAAGTCGGGCAAAGAAAGCCATGATGACACACATCGGCCAAAGTGCGCTTGAATTCTGCACATGTAGTCACAGTCATGGTTTGGGGTGCGATTAGAAACACCTTGAAGACAATTTTGTGTGATTGCCCAGGCCCGGCGCTCTTTAGCAGCTAATGATGCAGGAGATCCGGTTGTACTAGATTTGGTTGTAGGCTGTCACATTTTGTGCATCTTAGATGATTCATTGAAGATATCTTCCGCATCTCGAAAAAGATAGAAACTAACACTGTTGCGAATTTCGTTGATGATGATCGATCTGAGGAAATGATAATTCGCTATGCAAATGCTATCAAAATACACACGTTTCACCTAAAGCTTCGCCAAAACACCGCTTCCGTTCAGATATGCCACATGACCCCTCGAGATTTCAGCAATCGTTCGGGTTCTATTGACAAATTAGTTAGCTATGTTCGATGTTCACCAGTTGACGGCTCGGGACTAACCCTGCAAGAGCCATGGCAACCTTGAGCTCGTACTGGAGGATCTTAAGCGCCAGCTCAACGCCCTCCTGCCCATTGTACTATCATGCTGATCAGCTATTTTATCCGTGAATAATCTTGAACAGTCGTGTCTTGACGTACCGCCAGACCCCAAATGGGGATTCTTCCCACAAAGCAATGTGACGCGCCGAGGGCAAGCGCCTTGAAGATGTCAGTACCACGGCGTATACCGCCATCAACAGCGATAGGAATCTTTCCCGCCGCTACAGGTGCGCAGATGCGCAAAGCATCTAACGTGGCAGGCACGCCATCTAGCTGCCTGCCACCGTGGTTCGAGATGATGACACCGTCGAGGCCGTGTCTGATCGCGAGAGCTACGTCGTCGGGAGTGTAAACTATTAGACAAGTCAACCAGTCAGTTCGATGTCATCACAAGAGGCGAGGAGTATAATCAACTTACCACCCTTCAGCCATAGCTGGAGCTTAGTGTGCTTCTTGAGCCAGGGAATGGCCGAGTCCCAGTCAAGCGAAGGGTCTGCAATTTTGGTTGTCAGTAATGAATTCAAAAACATGCATCTGCTTTATGGCGTACCAAAGTCATGTCGGTTTGAAGACTCGCCATCCTTCTCGTTGCCGCTCAATTCGCTCTTTCCATCGGACAAGAGGTTAGGCCACTCAATGCCGTCGGGTAGACAGAAGTTGTTTCGGTACTCATTCAATCGGCGGCCTAGCAGCGGGGTATCGACAGACAGGAAGATTGCCTTGTATCCAGATGCTATCAAGTTTCTTAGCATTTTGGCTTCATGCTTCTAGGAGATATGATTTGCCTACCTTCAGCCCTCTTCAAAATTTGCAAAGTGGTCTCTCGGTCTCTGAGTACACACAGCTGCATGATATATGGGTTTCCAGCGCCTTCGGCTGCCACGTTCTCCATCGACTCGGTGGCATAGGAAGAAAGGGCCATGCAAACATTCATCTTTGCTGCAGCACGCGACGTGCCGAGTTCGCCATCTGGGTGTGCCATTTTGTGCATCGCAGCCGGGCTAAAGCCCAAGGGAAATGAAACCTAGCGGGAATGTGTAAGCAGTTGTGAGATTCCGACCATGCGATCTACATACCTTGGCCCCAAAGATCGAGGTAGACATGTCGATATTGTCGACATTGACGAGAATACGCGGCATGATCTTGTATCGGTTGTATGCCTCCTCGTTATCCTTCAGTCTGTATAATGTCGAGTGTTAGTAATTTCTCGGATACTCTGGAGCTAACTTCAGGCGACTGACGTTACGAGATCCATTGCGCCCTCGTTGTAGTAATCTCTGTACATCTTGGGGAGCTTCTTGCTGCCCAACTCCATCAGATCACGGATGGTATGGACATCGGGGTCCCAAGTTGCGCCGCGGTTTGCCATTTTGGGAAATTAGTGAGACTAAGATTATCTTGGTCGGGTGTGCTTTGAGGATCGATTGCACCAGCTCGACATGGGATTATCTTGAGAGGAGATGGAGAGGGATACTGGATGTGAGAGTAGTTGCTACAATGGAGAGCTGGCAAGCTTATGTGAAATAATATATCGGAATTGGTTCCGTCAGTCATGAGAGTTCTTGACTTTCCTGCCTCGGCAAGCTGCTCCGCCACCCGAAATCGGGATAGCAACAGCACGCAGAAGATGCTTCCGTTCGACCTTTGGACCCTTCTGCACCTGAAGCAATCGCCTTCAAGCTCCCATTTTAGGCAAGAAGCTCAAAATCACCGATCTAGACCAAATGCTTATCGTCATGGTTGGGGTGAATTCGGGGTAGCTCGGGGATGGTTGCCATTTTTGCTTCACACCATCACTCACACCTAATCTGACTTTCCAGATACGTGCACCCAGCAACCATCTGACGTCTGATTCGTGTTCTCTTCGAATGAACTTGTCTTGCCCCCGCGTGATACGCTCTCGAGGTGGTCCATCGAATCAGGGGCATGTCTCCGGCTGCAGGTGCTGAGGTGCATTGGATCTCCTACAGTACAGGGGTACCGAGCTGATTGGTCCACTTGCGATATGCGCAGTCGGTACGCATAGCTCTCCAGGACTTTCGAGCATGAATATCAAGGCTACTTTCGGCGAGACCTTACCATCAATATCACGGAAGCGTATCCGATGGTTAGAGCAATATTTTTGAGTATGTCAAATCGTGTAAGTATGGATGGTAGGTAATTGCGAAACCATGCGCGTGAAACATCCCACTTGCCTAGATCAACCAGCGGCCTCTACGATATCTCTGATGAGCTGCTTCAAATTAATCTACAACTGACTCTCTTTTTCTTTGAGCTTCGCCAACCACTTCATGCACCACTTCATTCCGAGATATTAACTTGCACTGTATGGTCACCAAGCCTGTCTTCCGTCTTGTCCAAATATGCGTTCCTTCAAGGCTTCATCGGCCGTTCGCGTAGCCTCAACCAAGCCAAGTAGCTTCATCGCGCTATCTTCCCCAGTTTCGCCGTACCAGAGAGCTCTTTCCACAACATCATCTGCACAGTTGTCCTGGCCTACGTCTCACACCAAGATCATCAACCCTTCAGCAACACAAAACTTCATCGACAACACCTTCAGGCCGTCCTCAGCAAGCAACTGGATCGATGTCCACGACCCAGCCACAAACAATGTCGTGACACGCGTACCGGAGAGCACGGACGAGGAGCTCAAAGCCGCAGTCGAGAGCGCCCAGCGCGCATTTCCAACATGGAGAGCTACGAGCATTCTGAAGCGCCAGCAAATTATGTTCAACTTTGTAAACTTGATTCGAAGAGATTGGGATCGTCTTGCCGCATCCATCACGCTTGAACAGGGCAAGACTTTTGCCGATGCACGAGGCGACGTTCTACGCGGTCTGCAAGTTGCCGAGACCGCGTGCGGAATCACGACACAAATCACTGGTGATGTTCTAGAGGTAGCTAAAGACATGGAGACACGAAGCTACCGCGAGCCTCTAGGTGTTGTTGCCGCTATATGTCCTTTCAGTAAGTTACTCCAACTCTAATCCTTGAGCTACAATGTGTATCCACGGATCACTTCTGGCACTTGTTTCATCGCTAACAGATCCGCTCTTCGACAGACTTCCCTGCCATGATCCCTCTTTGGTCAATTCCAATTGCTACGATTACTGGCAATACGCTGGTCCTCAAACCATCCGAACGAGACCCCGGTGCAGCTATGATTCTGGCAGAATTGGCTAAGGAAGCTGGATTCCCCGACGGTGTTATCAACATCATTCATGGCACGCACCGCGCAGTCAACTTCATTCTTGACGAGCCGGCAATCAAGGCCATTAGCTTTGTTGGTGGAAATAAGGCCGGCGAATACATCTACACTCGTGGATCAGCCAACGGAAAGAGAGTGCAGGCCAACCTCGGTGCAAAGAACCATGCTGTTGTTCTATCCGATAGCAATAAGCAACTAACTATCAATGCAATCTCCGGTGCTGCATTCGGCGCAGCGGGTCAGCGTTGTATGGCGCTCTCTGCTCTGGTTCTCACTGGCCGCGAGACACACTCTTGGATTGACGACCTTGTCGAGAATGCAAAACAGCTCAAGGTTGACGGCGGTTTCGAAGACGGCGCTGACCTAGGCCCGGTAATTAGCCCTCAAAGTCTTGTCAGGATAGAAGCTCTCATCGAGAGCGCAGAGCAAGAAGGTGCCAAAATTGTATTGGATGGCCGCGGCTATCGCCCCAGCAAGTATCCTAATGGCAACTTCCTAGGTCCCACCATCATTAGTGGTGTGAAGCCTCACATGAAGTGCTACAAGGAGGAGATTTTCGGGCCGGTCTTGGTTTGTCTGGAGGCGGAGACCTTGGCCGAAGCCACTCAGCTTGTCAATGACAATCCCTACGGCAATGGCGTTGCTCTTTTCACCAACTCCGGAGCTGCTGCTTCTTGGTTTCAGAAGAACATAGAGGCTGGGCAGCTTGGCATCAATGTTCCGATCCCAGTGCCGCTGCCTATGTTCAGCTTCACAGGAAACAAGGCAAGCATCGCGGGCGGTGGCGTCAACACTTTCTACGGCAAAGCAGGCTTGAACTTCTATTTGCAGACCAAAACGGTCACCAGTCTTTGGAAATTGGAAGATGAGGAGGCGAGTAAGGCAAGCGTGGTGATGCCGACCCAAAATTAGACGTAAAAGAATTACGGTAGACTCGATGAATATACAAATATACTAGTGGAACACGCTCGCTCCTATGTCCCAGTCAAAAGCTGATTATTTCAATTTCCTGGAAACTTTGCACTGGTTGACCTGGCAAGCTACCTTATTTACATATGCCCCGGCTTCAGCGCCTGAGACGTATTTAAACAGTGCTAACTAAGCGTCGCAAGCTTGCTAATCAGATACAGCAGTGCTGTAATCGTACGCGGTGTAGCCTTACTGTTCCCTTTGCTTATGATCGTAAGTGCATTCCCGATCTCGCAGCAGAACAGAATGTTGGCCACTCTCAACTTAGCTTCCTGGATCAAGCCGTGTATCAGTCCAACTGACTATGCTGGGGCTGATTGGCTTCGCTTTCAATCCGCGTCTGTGCCTTGATCACTTTTACAGTTGGCCCTTCCGGTCAGGGATGAGATTGGCATGCCAAATAACCCAGGGCTCCTGCTGATGTGATCGCCATCAAGGATGAAGCCTGCATTCTTTAGCAACATGGTTCACGCTGTCTCGACGCCACGCGGACATGCTTTCCATTTCACTCCCACTGCCTATATGTCAGTATTCTGCGAGTCTCGCCTTTAACAGAGTCTTGGTGAAGGCAAATACGACGAGAACCAGCACCAAAATAGGCATATACGCTGCGTATCGCACATCTCAGCCGACTTCAGGGATGTGTCCGGGGAAGCCGATAGTTACGCGGGGAAGTTCTCCTTGCCAGAAGCTTGGCGGATTAGGTAGTCTCAAAGTTTTAGGAAAGTAATAACGACAACACCAGCAACAAAAAGCTCCTAGCCTCCCTTATCAGGCTTAATGCAAGCTAACTCCAGCGGATCATGAGTTACGCCAGGTTTAAGCACGATGAAGCTGATAGCCCTCGGGAAAAAATACAGATAATCCTCGGGAAACGTTCCAGACCAAGATTGAAACCCGCGCCCTTGGTATGGTATTGAGCTAAGTCGGAAACGGATGCGCAAACCAACCATAATTTTGCTGCTGGGTACCTCGTGATGAAATGGTTGGCAGCGTTGCAAAAGTCTACTCAACTCTACGTTACTTCCATCTCCCTCTTCATCTTAACTCAAGTATTTAAGTGGCATCCCCTTTGGTCTCCCTGATTTGTATCAACTTGGTTCAGGAACAAGAATTTACTACAACAACGTAGGGCTTTGACCTCCGTAATCTATCTGCCTTGCATCGTTCTTACAGGAGACTGTATCCTGCTTCAGTCCTGGAACTTCATTTAAATAACTCAAACGTCTGTACAACTGACATCTACAAAACCGCAATGTCTAATTCTTTATCTAACGACACCGAAAAGATGAAGTCCCCAGCCATCGCCGACACCGATGTCGAGCTCCGTCCTATGGAGTCTATACGCGGAGGCGTGTTAGGTCCCGAGGGACAACAACACGGCTCCACCCAACGTGGCCTCAAGTCTCGACATGCACAGATGATCGCCTTGGGTGGCACAATCGGAACTGGTCTCTTCGTTGGCGTCGGCCAGGGCCTGAATATGGGCGGGCCTCTGTTCCTTCTAATCTCCTACATCAGTATCACTCTCCTTCTCTACGGAGTGGCAACGGCCACCGGCGAAATGAGTGCCTATCTTCCAGTTCCCGGCTCTTCAATCGCCTTCTACGGCCAACGATTCTTCTCGCGCAGTCTTGGGTTCACGCTGGGCTGGGTATACTGGTACATCTTCTCCATCACAGTTCCGGCCGAAATCACTGCAACCTACATTGTTCTCAATTACTGGTCGCCGCCTCTACACATTGCGTTCTGGCTGACACTCATCGGCGCCGTCATGATTGCCCTCAATTGCTTCCCTGTCAAATTCTATGGGGAAGCCGAGTTCTGGTTCGCCAGCATGAAAGTCTTTGGTATTATTGGGCTGCTCATCCTCTCCGTTGTACTCTTCTTTGGCGGCGGGCCCTCGCACCAACCCCTTTGGTTTTCGAACTGGTCCAATCCAGGGCCGGTCAAAGAATACATCGTGACGGGAGACTCTGGGCGTCTTGTAGCATTTGTCTCGACCATCACCTTCTCCGTGTTTGCCTTTGCCTTTGCGCCAGAACTTCTTGTCGTCACCGGTGGAGAGATGGAAAGCCCTCGCCGCAATATTCCCACCGCGACCCGTCGATACTTCTATCGCCTCATCACATTCTACATTCTTGGTGCTCTGGCTGTGGGAATCATTGTCAGCAGCAACAATCCCAACCTCCTCAGTGGTGGCAAAGGTGCTGGCGCTTCTCCTTGGGCTATTGGCATTAGGGAGGCAGGCATTAAGGGCCTCGACAGCGTAGTGAACGTCGTGATTGTCCTGAGTGCTTGGTCTGCAGGTAACTCCTATCTGGTATGTGTTCCTCTTCCTGCTCCTGTAGTTTTTTGAATATCTTCTGATCCGTGTGAACTTTGATAGTACCTTGCTAGCCGCGCGCTCTACTCGATGGCCCTCGCAGGCAACGCGCCAAAGATCTTCACGCGCTGTACGAAGTCAGGTGTCCCATACTACGCCACAGCAGCCAGTGCCTCGTTCTCATTGTTGGCGTATCTCAATGTTGCTTCGACTGGTGCAACTGTATTCAATTGGTTCGTCAACTTGATCAATACGGGTGCTTATCAAAGTTGGATCTGTTGCTGCATAATCTACTTTAGATATCGCAAGGCATCAGATGCGCAGGGTATCACAGATATTCCCTTTCGTTCCCGTTTTCAACCCTACTCAAGTTTTTTCAGCTTGTTTGGCTTCAGTTTACTGCTTTTCGTCAACGGTTTCAAGGTATTTCTCGCGGGACAGTGGAACACCTCTTCCTTTCTTACGTCGTACATCGGGGTAGTCATCTTCTTGCTGCTTTTCTTCGGGCACAAGTTCACTGTGGGACGGCAAGACCCCTGGGTACTTAATCCGATGGACGTTGACCTGAAGTCTGGCTTAGACGAGATTTTCGCTGCACAAAAGCCTGCAGTGATAAGAACCAAGTGGTATCAAAAGTGGAGGGTTTTGTTTGAGTAAACCTACATGTTATGATAGGTACCATGTCCTACGGTCTATCACTGTCTCACCTGATTTTACATTTTAGTCGCCAATTGAGAAGCTGGGAATCGAAGTCTCTTCGTACACTTTTCCCCCCTGCATCAAACAACAGCCATCTGGCGAAAGTGTCATCACTACTACTGATGCTGTGGAACTTCTCGTACAGAATGCCCACTCGACGTTTTGATTAGTACATATCAATGAAGGCGAGCAGTCTGGTATCGCGTAATTACAAGTGGTTCTGAAAAGTAATGACCGTCTCTGTTTGTTTAGCAAGGCACAAACGGATGTTCTAATGGCTACCCTATCGACATCCGTTCAAGTGAGGTGTGGCTTTAAAGCCCAACAGAATACGCATCCTCTTCACATCGGAGATATTATAACTCGACGGCATTCACAATATTCAGGAGCACAATTCTCCATTCTTAGAACAAGTGACACTCGTTGAAGTATAGGTGATAAAATTTCCATCCAGAGTGATCGGGTTGAGATGAACGCAGTTCCAATGGCCGCCTCGGCATTGTCTCTGACCGTTGGCGTTGCTGAACTTGCTGCAGGCGCTATTGACTTGGGATGGGCAGGTAGCGCGGGGATTCTGTTTGATGACAGACATTAGCGACAGAACTGAGATCGATTGTGTAGATTCAAAGAGGAACTAGCAGATCGTGCGGCTGGGAGAGGCGTACATGAGCAGCAGCTGGCTCTGGAATGGGGCTCGCCATCGTGCTGGCAGAAAGGGAGAGAAGGGAAAGGAAGGCGGTGGTGGTTCTCATTTTAGAGAAGTGACTGTAAGTTTTGTTGAAGCGACGTGGAACGTGTGTCCATCTCTATGGAAGTTCGAACCTTGTGATCTATTTTATAAACGAGGTTCTTAACCGCAGCCTATCTAGGCTATCTTCTCCCAGGTCCGTACCCTAGAGACGCTATCATGCCCTCTTATTTTATAGCTCCTGTCTCCTTGTCGCCATCTGAAGCAGGTTCAGTGTGGTTCTCGTTCGAAATTCCGAATTACATCCACCAATCAGTCCTGGCATCGGGACTTGGATTCCGAAAAAGGGTGGGTTCCGCGGGCTCCATCGCCGGTGTCCTATACTTCCTTTAGGATAGTCGAAGCAGTTTGATCCCTTATTCATGAAAAAGCCAGTTTCAAAGTGTCGAAGACTTTCGCAAAGTCTTCAGTGACCACGTCCTCGCAAGGTGTGAGCCAAGTCTCGAAGGCGCCAATGCGCTCGCCTGCCTTGTAGGTAAACTTTACCAGCTTCGCGACGTAGATCAGGATCTCTCAATGAGGTTGATTTCTGGCTAGCGCTCCTGTTGCGGTATTGTTTGTAGGCATTCAGGGACAAAGGGGCACCTGCACCAGGCGCTCCACCCTAACGCCTGAGAATTGCAGCACGATTTGCCCAGTCAAAGACTGGGGGATATCCCCTTCGACACTCCGGCATGTACTCTGTGATGTTATCACGGAGATTCATGTACTCGGCCAGGGGTTCTCGACTGACATCCGCACGCGGGTTCTGATGGGTGAAGGAGGGTGGTCTCTCATGAACAAGAACCGCAGCCGTTAAGACAGGTGTGAGCAAGCGGTTGCCTACCATGATTGAAGTTTTGTTGCTGAAGGGAATCTTTTGGGCCTTTGGAAGTAAGGAATTGGAGAACAAAAGCGACGAATGCTTAGAGGTGATTTGTCGAAGGCAGGTGACAACGTTCACTTAAATAAGGAGATATAACATGGCGATGCCTATACGCTCGATATAAAATGGTTATTCCTATGTCCATCTGGTCTAGCCGTATCATCTTGCAGTCTCGAGTCTCTCGACTTGCGTCATCAGGTCACCAAATACACTCAGGCAGGGCTTTCCTGTCGTTGCTGGGATTACAGCACGTCTCCCCTCATTACGAACTGCATCAAGTATCGCGGGACGAATATAGAGCGGGCTTTTTGAAAGATGAGCTGAGCTTCATTTGTCTTCCACACGAGGTACAGAAACTGCTCACATAGATTTGATTCTATCCAGGCTTGACTGTGGAGTTTGTCTCTATGCCCCTTAAGGCTAGAGGCTGTGGTCGATACTATCCACACCTTCAGGGAGGGCGTCAGAGCCGTCTTCTTTTGTCTTCGGGCGGCCGGAGCGAGCTCCGTCTTCGACATGAGCAATTAGCACCGGTTGACCTGGTCCCCATCCTCGGGCCAAAGCTTTGTTGTGGATCGCGTTGAAAGTCCGCCGGGGCATACCATACTTCTCGCAAATCTCTTTTGTTGTCATTCCGCCCTAGTCCCACAGTGTCAGAACACCGACTCGAATACCATTATCCCACTGTTTGTCCTTGGTTGATGGCATCGTCAGAGCTCTTGCCGACGGTGGCTGGGAGTTGTAAGTATTATACCCAAGCTAGGCCCAACGAGAGAAAGGGAATTTGGAGTGAGAAATTATGTCAGAACTCCTGATTGGCAGATTTTTACTGGCCAATGCACGGTCTTCTGACAGTGTAATTCCCCGTTGTCTCCGGAGCACAAGAGAGGCAAACGGTAGCAAGGCCCTTTTGAGTGGGTGCAAAGCTCAGGCCACTGCCGATTCCGAACCCGCCTGTTTAAAGCTGCTGCCTACCACAACCGGGTCCGAAGACCAAGACGGACCCCGCCAAGCAGGGCTGCAACTGCATTAGAAAGAATACCCTGGGCCTTGCGGATCGGAAGCGTAGCACTGCATCCATGATGGTCTATCCGGGAAACCGATGAATACGCGACTTTCCTATCGACAAAGATGGCTTCTCTTTGAGATCAGCCGTTCGCTGAACTCTGTCCCCCAGCATTTCTCTGCCGACCATGACGTCGCCCAGTCAGACGTCGATAGCTAGAGTGTATGACATGCAACAAGTAGCGATCTCATTGTCCATCGACGCAAACTAATTTCTTCCTCAATTAATGTATGAGTAATACTTCAATTTCCAGCTTTTCCCCCGATCCAAGGCTTCGTTTTGAGAATGGGATCTGGAGCCTCCAGAGAAGAACAGCAACGCGAGACAAATCTGACGCCTAACTCGACATGTAACAACCAGCTTGGGCCTTGAAAACATACATGAATGTGTCTTCTAGCCTTTTCAAGACACACGCTCTTCGACTGCATGGAACGGTATCATTACGAAACGGTCAGGTTGTCACTATCATCGAAAGCACTCTTACAACACCGGCCCCCTGAAGCACCTACGTCCAACTTCGAATATCTGTCCTGCACACTAAAACCCTGCAATGAGCTTGAGATGCAGCAGAAGAGGCCGAATATAAGCCTTTTTGGCCCGTTTTCTGGATGCGAAATGATACTAGACATAAGGTGTCTCGCGTTCTTTCACTATCGTAATGGGGCTCATTGAACGTTACATGTAGATTTGTCGTCCGAGTCTAGTTTTTGTTTCTATCAAATTAAGCGAATATCCAAAATGGAGATCATCACATTACTCAAGTTTCCCTAGAAACTCTTGCAGCAATCGAATAGTTCCCTCTCCATCCTCATGCATGACCCAATGTCCTGTCTCGAGCACATTGAAATCATATCCCGCCTTTGCCCACGGCCTCGTCATCTGATCCTGCAATGGGGTAACCGTCATTTCGTCTCGTCCACAGCCAATTAGTAACACAGGGACTTCGATCTCCTTATTCATGTTCCTTTCATCTTCGAAAGACAAGTTGTTACGTAGCGCCTTGTACCAGTTTGTCGGACCTGTCCATCCGCCTTTCTTGAACGAAGTAACCTTCATCAGGAAGTATTCATTTTTCTGAACATCTCTGTCGGTAAAAGAATGTGTTGGCGCAATCCTTGCAGAGGAGACCCAGTCTCTAGCCTTCCCAGGCGGCCCGAGATTCGCAGCCATGACTTCAGGTGAAGCATGCATGAGAGATATCACAGACTCGACATTTCGATCCATCAGGGCAACCCCTTCGTCATCCGTAAATAAATTCCAATATCGAAATCTCTCTTCGCCAGTCATTTCTTTTGTCATTCGGTTGATCATCTCGACATCAAACTTCTCTCCTGGTACAGAGTATCCGACGTCTAAGAATACTATACCCCTGAACTGGGAAGGATAAAAGTGGTACAGTCTGCTGAGAAACCATGAGCCCAGATCGTGGCCTACGCCTACCACAGTGTCGAGGTTCTCTGCGTCCAGTATGGTTTTGATGTGTGTACTCATTTTGCGCCATGTGTATTCTTGCGGGTCATGTGGTTTGGAAGATCCACCGTAGCCAAGAAGATCCGGCGCGAGGACACCGTAGCCCAGGGAGGCGAAGTGCTCTAGTTGTTGGCGGAAGTCGGTTGCAGTGGAGGGGAACCCGTGTAAGAAGAGGAGATTTGGTAAAGTAGAATTCGAAGCTTTGGCAACGTAGTATTCGTATGTTATGGAAGACGATATTTGAAGACGTCTAGAGGTAAGCGTCGTCATTTTGAGGTCTGTGACTATTCTGGACGATAAAGTTTCAGAATATCGTGCAAAGTTCTTCTCGAACAACTATATGACTTGATTACAAGAATTTAGAGTTACTTTGCGGTATATATTAGAAAAGCAGAAAGTGTCATGTGGAAGACAACGAAATCGGCGGGCTTCTTTATAATTGTGGATAAGCCCGAAAGTCGACGAAATGTGTCCGAGGTCACGCTTTGACTAACACGATCTAAAATGTCGATCTCCCGCCATCGTGAACATCCCGCCGCTTAGATCCCTTGTATGTCTCAGAACCACAATAATACTCTGATATCACTTAATTGACGATTCCATTGGTAGAGAGATGAGTATATGTCTCCATTGCAACTTGCATTGTATTTTGGATCTTAACCTTGATCAGAGCCGAAGTGAAGCGGACGGGTTTTACCTCAAATTTTCAACCTAGTTTGTGTTGCCAATGGCTTTGCGCGGATCATCAACGGGTTCTTGATCCAGAGCGCAAATGCCTTTTGGTTCTTCCAGTCCCGGCTCTCCTCACATAGCTCGAGGTCGTATGAGAAGAGCAAGGTAGCCAAAATGAGTCTCATCTCGTGCATCGCCATGTTTTGGCCCAGGCAGTTACGCGGCCCGAAACCGAATGGTTGGTGAGCCTCCAGCGCATCTCCGGCGTAGGTGGGGTCCGTCTTGAGCCATCTCTCTGGCGTAAAAGTTTCGGCGTTCTTAAAGTTGTTCTCGGATTTGTACGTCGACCAGTGGTGGACAGACACGCGCGTGTCGGCAGGCACCCATTTACCAAGAATCTGTTGTCCACCTGGGAGCACCACTCTGGGACTTCCGATCGGCACGGGGGGATAAACGCGCAGCGCCTCCTTCAGGCAGGCATTCATGTACTTCAGCTCCTGAAGACGTTCGAATGTGAGTTCATCCAGCTTTGTGAAGTTGCCTCGAATTTCTTCGAGAAGGGCGTTCATTTTGTCGGGGTAGGTGAGCAGATTGTAAAGACAACCGCTAAGAAGTGTAGCTAGCGCACTCAGTCAGCCTCACATCAACACCGAATGCTATGGCACTTGCTTACCCGTCGTTTCCGATCCAGCGAGCATGAAGATTTCCGAGTTTGAATGCATCTCCTCAAGAGAAAGACCTTTGCCTTCCTTGGCCGCCAAGACCAAGTTCCAGACATCAGGCTGGTCAGAGCCATCTTGCAGTCGTTGGTTGACACGATCCTCTGAGTGCTTGCAGTGGGTGACACGCTGCTCCACGACAGACTTTGGTTCGAAGCGGTTGAATATGGCAGTCAGGATGGGGTAGTAGTTGATGATGGAAACGATGGGCAACATCTTGAGCGACTCAAAAATTGACCTGACCCAGGGGCTGTACTCGTTCTTCGCCAGCAGGCCAAGGGGCTGGCCAAAGCAAAGTTCGGCCATGACGTCGAATGTTGCAAAGTTGAGCAATTGAGTCATTTCCACAGCCTTTTGCCCTTCTTCGCCAACTTCGCCACACTTGTACATGAGAAGGTCCACGTACTTTCGGAACAGCGGCTCTTGTTGTCTCAGCGCACGTTCCGAGAAGGCAGGCGAGAAGAGGCGACGGACTCGAGCATGGTCTTCGGTGTTCGCCGTAAGCATACTCGGGACGCCTGCAACCCATCAGTCTCTGGTGCCAGCTCATGTGCTAAAGTTGAAGCTGGGAAATCAAATTGTCGGGATATCGCGTACCATTCACAGGCTGAACTGAGAACTCTTGGGCCTTTTCGGTCACCTTAGGTCCATGGATGTCATTCCAGGCCTCTCCGGCCGTGTAACTCAGATCCGTGGGGCCGAAACGAACGACAGGGCCATAAGCTTCATGTAGGCTCTTCATCCATTCTATATCTTCACCTCTCAACGCGACAAGCCAGTATGGAATACGAGTAATGGCGCAGATCTTGGGGCCGGGCACATCGGCCAGCGGATGGAGAGTGACGTTGTAGATGGCGCTACCGATGAGATAGAGGGCTAACAGCGCCACGAAGGCAAGAATAGTGCCCAACATTATGACAAAGTACGATCGATGACTCGCCGTCTAATACACGAGTTGTCTGTCCAAACAAGAAGCGAAGAGTGTGAACATGAGAGGAGGGGAGCTCCCAAACGTCAACAGTGGAAATTCGCACATCTTCGGAAAATGGATGAAATATCTCGAGCTCCTGAGTGGTCAATTGATAAGACCCCTGGATCTTCCAACCCCAGTGCAACATTCTTCAGCAGGAAGCTCCGCATGGAGTGACTTGTTGGTGCAACTGCTAACTTAGACCAATTGGCGGCTTTTTCAGACCGGGATTATTATCCGTGATGTGGCCAAGCCCGCCGTATTGGTAAAGAATCAGGTGTCAAACTTATTGGGTGGCCTGGCCAGCACGCTAGGTATGGACATCCTGGATCCACTGCCAATAGCAATCTTGGGTATTGCGTTAACGGCTGCACAGATGGGTACCTGGGGCTGAATAAGTATTCATAGACTGTCCACGCAGGAAGCGTGTGTGTTATTATTGTGTTAGCGTTACACGGTTTGTACTCTCGGCATCAGAGTTGTGCAGAGTAGGTACGCCCAAAGGATTGAGCTTCGTGCCCAACGAACCAACGTGATAATGAAGTTCCAAGAGAAGATCAACCCGGGTGAACTTGGCATGGCACCAGCCTCTAGGGTTTCGCCATTATCCTAGAGCACAAAAACACCATCCAGATTCTGGCCGAAGTCGCATTGCGGTCGAGTCAGTGACTTGTACGTGGTGCTGGGTGGTATTTCGTAGACAGGGTCCTGGACGTTTTACGAAAACTGCAGCCTATGGCACAGCTAGATTCATTTAATCCAACGTGCCGTCCTGGTGATCATCGTTATTTGACTGGCTGGATAACGTCGGTTGGTGGAGTTCGCTACCGTTCCCCTGCCTCCGGATCCCCTCCCCCGGGTCCTATCAAAGCGCCAATGAACCCCCAGTTCTAGGCCCGGGACGAAAAGAGATTGCTCCAACCCGCGGCACAAGCGTCCGCAGCGGCCACCACGTCAAAACTGGTAACGAGACGGTTGATCGCGGGCAGGGGCGACTTCGTGCTGCACCACAAAAACTGGTTGGGTTGCATCAATCCTCTTAACGACTGAACTCAGCTACTGCAGCTAGAGCTGTTAGCGAAACCTACATACCTTGACCGAAGAGGAGGCATCGATGAGCCGATGGTCTCGCTTGTGTGCTGCCTTGAAAAGTTGCCATGAAGAAGCCATGGCAGAAAGGGGTTTCGTCGCCATGGGTGTCGCGAGGCCTCGGACGAAAACTGACAGTTCGCCCCACGAGACAGGGCTCATCTCGACCAAAGTGTGGCTTTCGCTGACTCGTCGAAACCCAAGGCCCAGGTCGACATGTTGAAAATGGATATTTTGCCTTGGTATTTACATATTAAAGTCTCAACGAGCTCTTATTGCCGTTCCGTTTGTGGGGTTGGTCACGAAAATCTGCCTCCTCTGGGACGTCCAAGGAGCCAAATCCTCCACCTAACCATGGGAAGAAGACATGGGAATGAGACCAGACGTTGACCAGGGGTGCACGTTACGTCGGAGCTCCCCCACAGCATCCAGCTGTCAGTCAAATCCAGGAACCGCGGCCTGTAGTAAAATGCCTCCCTTCCCATGTGGCAGGCAGTATGTTTCCGGCATCCCACTTCGCTTTTGAATTCCTCCGATGTCTCCAGTCTAGAGTCTAGATCAAAGTTCGTCTCGAGGCTCGCTTTCTTCCCCTCTTTGGCATCTCGGGTCCGCGACGAAGAAAAGGCATAGCACGACATCTTTGTGAAGCGGAGGCCATAGGGTTGACCGACCTACGCCCAAGATGGCGGCTTCTATGACGGGGGAGCAGATACAAGCCTTTGCCTACCAACTTGATCCCCTTGCACCCAAGGGCCTGGCACCTGCCGTCGAGTTTGTCGCCATCATTTTGGGCATTATCAGCGTCATCGTCGTGTCACTCCGAATCTACGTTCGTGCCGGTTTATCAGGTGCCTCATCACGACTCTGGGGCGTTGAAGATTATTTGGCAGTAATAGGAACTGTAGGTGTTTTCAGCTTAGACACTCTCCTTGCGCTCCTCGACCATTCGTATAATTTTACTGTACCAAATCACTCTGAAAACTCGCTAACTAACAGCGCAACAGCTTCCTTTTATACCAGCAGTCGTTTTCGCAGTGCTTGCATCACGCTATGGCGTAGGATTCCACGATGCCGACCTCCCATCACAACTATACTTGATTCGCGCCTCCGAGTATCAGACCTACTGGGAAGTACTATACTTTATCTCGTCAACCATTATCAAGTGCGCCATTGGGTTCACTTGTATACGTCTGGATCGACGGAAGCGAGTGGTCATCTGTATGATCCTCAACATGTCTGTAATGGTGGTTGTAGCCATCCTAGCCTTGATCTTTGTCTTTGCAAACTGCACCCCGCTTGCAGCAACATGGAACCCGGCATTGTAAGTATTTCATTGAGCTATTGTTGATGTTGCGGTTGAACATCAACTTTTTGTTGGAAATCGGATCGCCCCTTTTCGTTCGTCTACTGACCTCGTTTAACAGGGGATCATGCCAAAAGAAGATCAGCTTGCAGACTGTCAGCTACATCGTCTCTGCGATTCAGATGTTGACGGACTGGACCTGTGCCATTGTTCCCTTTTTTATTGTGGCCGGCCTGCAAATGTCTCGTCGTAAGAAGGTTTCAGTCATAGCTATTCTCGGCCTCGGAATCTTCGCCAGTATCGCGACCTGCATCCGCATGCCCTACCTCAAGTACTATGACACTGCAAAATACCCCACGGAGATCGCCTGTAAGTCATCCTCTACAATACACTTCCCCTTCTTAGGACATAAACTCACGTGGCATGCCAACCCTATAGATCACCTTGGAGTCATCAGCATTACTTCCAACCTCGAGTGCAGTTTGGGAATCATTGGATCGTCGCTTCCTCCCCTGCGAAAACTATTCAAGTTTTACTATGGCTCCTCTCACGACGGGAATTACAAAATCACAGGCGAGGTAAGCTACGCCCTGACCCTACATCATGTCGTAGATGGCGACTAACCCGATCTCTCTTGTAGAGCGGAGACGCTCTTGGAAGTGCTGGCCCAGGCATCAAGCTTGGCTCGCTCAGCGGCAACGACAGAACATACCATGCATCAGCCAAACGGGGCACCTCGCGTGCGGGTGTCAGAGAGCACGAGACCGACGACGATGACTCTTCAAGTCGGAAAGGGATCATACGGAAGACCGATATCCATGTCAGCACATCGACATTCCATGTATAGCGTAATGAAACATCAACCACTCACAGATATCGATATCTGCGAGAAGGTTAATAGCAATGTAATTTTAAGCATAAAAAAAAGAATACATAAATGTATTCGAGCCTCTAAGCGTTTGAACACTTCGCCAAGCCTCTGCGTCTACCGATTTGGGGGGACTGCCAAGGAGACTAGCTCCGCTAGATATCTCGTCTACTGCTTAAAGTCAACTTTCAAGTTTTGTTGGAGGGTGCGTATTTTGAGGAAAATCACTGCAAGGGCTGGAATGGATACAAGACCTTGTTTATCGAGTTCTCATGATAATGACATATCGGGTCGGGTGACATGCCATGATATCTGACCTTGATGGTGATTAAAAGCCTTAACAGCGCGCCAGGGATGAATGAGTCGCTGCTCCACTAGAAGAACTCACCTTTTGCTACAGCCTTTAATCTCTTAGTTAAACCTCTTCGATTTCCTGTCACCTTTGAGGCCTAGTGATGTTAGCAATTGGCTAGGGGCCGTTAGGTCCGTGATGCCTACGCCACACTCAACAGCATGCAGCATACGGCTGTGCCTCTCTGCATACGTAGGTTATGAAGATATATCAGGGAACCCCGAGCCCTGGAGGATGTCGGGGAGAATTGGAGGTGGTGAGCTCATGTACCCTATCCGTGCTAAACAACGAACGGCGGTCTAGAACGCATGACATAGTACCACGTTTCCATGATTGAGACGAGGCAAAGGCAAGACTGACATACGATACCGCCAAGGAGACACAGCTAACATCTGGCAAGGCGGCACATGATAATTGTAACATGGGAAGGCTGCAGCAGCATCCCTGCTCTTTAAAAGACAGAGTGCCTAAGGAAACCTGGTGTATGAGGGAATCACTCGGTACCTCCCAGGATACACATAGATTCTACGCCCTCCTTAACGGGTTATCTGCTGTAAGGGAAGTGCGAACCATAAGCCTAAACTCCGACTTAGCTTAAAGAGGAGCAGAAATCGGTGACTAGAGATGAAGCAGAGTAACGTAGCAAGGCCGAGCCCAGAGGAGACGAAGACAAGGTGCTCAAGACACAGCAAGGCAACGGTCACCGTATCCACATCAAACAGAGCTCGATTCTCATTTCAAGAATGAGCATGACATGTCAGCCTGCGACGTGAAATACGTCAATATCTCACAACCAAGCATGATTCGTGTGTTCTGGGTACTCGGCCTTCATGCCCAGGACCAGTCTGCAGGATAGAAAGCACTACGCGATCATAACAGCCAGAAGCCGCCTTGAAGGATAGTTCCCAAGGCCAACTCTCATCATATTGAGAATCCAGAATGCAACTGCTTAATTCAATAAGCGTGAATCAACAACTTCTTCATACTCAAAAACACCCTCGTGCGCCTTCAAGCCGTTTACCGTCGACGCGTGCAATCTAGAAGTTTAGAAATCTACGCTGAGAGAAGTCACTTACTTGCGTTGTCAACCCGGGGACTTAGTAAGAGTCAACGCCGCAGTGATGATACTAGAGTGTCTTCTAGAACAATACAAGCATCAAAAAAATACTTATAGTACTCAGAGAATTGCTTTACATCAGTCACTCCAGAAGCATGAGTGTCGTTGTCCTGGAACTCTGTATTCCCCGTCACTGCAAACTGTTGGACCCCATCATTATGTAATCGACGCCATAACCCCAGAGGCGCAGGGGTAGGTACCACCAAGCTCCGATCTAACGACCGACGAGAGCAAAAGCGACCATCGATTTCGTCACTACTTCCGTCCCGGGCGCAAGCGAACGTAAGGTACGAAGCGAGAGAGACCCAGATCCCGAAGTCACACTCACTTCCCTCCACTCGCCCTACGACATCATATCCCGCGCTCCTCCCAAACAACCTAAAGCTCGCCCAGCTTCCCCCACCACTAGTGTCTACTGTCTCTTTCAATTGAACTTTGTAGTCAACTCGTCACGGAGTACCAAGTCCCTCGAAAACGCCCGGGCTCGAGCCCGGCATGCTCCTCCCCCGACTTCTGCAACCCGCAGCGGCCCATTCCCTCCGCCGCGCCGGCGCAATTTGGACGAGGACGACAACGAAGACGAGAGCTGCTCCTGCTGTCGAACCAGGACAGACTTGCCTCCGAGCTCGGTTTCCGTGTCGTACGTTTACGACATCGCGTGCGCTTCGAAATGACGTCGCTTCCACGAACCACTACGAGACCTTGAAGGTCGCCCACGATGCCTCGCCTTCCGATATCAAGAAGTGCGTACCATTTGAAGACCTACCTATCCATTCCCAATTGGTCGTGTAGTCTGCAATATCTTGGTCGCAGTCAAGCGGCACATTACTATAGCAGCATGCTCCCTGTCCCATCCACATCCTCTGTCCAAAGCCCCTCATGTGCCAGCTTGCCTAAACCCAGTTCCCCCTCTCGAAGAATCGTAACAGCTAACCCAACCTCCCCTCCCCAGATCCTTCTACGCCCTCTCCAAGGCCCACCACCCAGACCACAACCGCGATGACCCAAACGCATCCCGCAAATTCCACGCGATAGCAGAAGCCTACTCCGTCCTAGGCACCCCCGCCAAACGCGCAGCCTACGACCGCTCCCTCCCCTCCTCCTCCCACAACAGCCACCACGGCGCCCACAGACGCGGCTCCTACCACAGTAGCTCGGGTCCCGCGGGAGGCCGCCCCGCATCAGGCCTCTCCCGGCGGCGCACAACCTTCCGCGGCCCGCCTCCGAGCTTTTATAGGTCCGGCGGCTGGGGCGAGCATTCGGCGAAGCGGAGGGAGGCCCACGAGGATACCACCGGCACAGGCGCGGAGAAGGAACAGCCTGGGATGGGTCCCGGGTCGGATCCGTACGGGCACACGAGGTCGGCCGCGCCGCGGCACTTTGATTCGCATACGCATACAAAGACACAGCAAAAGCAGGATTCGCGGCGGTCGCATAGGATCATGGGCACGCAGGTCCCGGTTGGACCGCAGGAGACTTCTGTGGGAGCGTTTTTGGTGGTCAGCGGGATCTTGTTCTTTTCCTTTTTCATACCCTTTGTTGCTACTGGCGGATTGAGCCGGAAGAAGAAAGATGCCAAATCATAGACCAAGCGATAGAGCTTGCGCAGTAACCTGTGGACATCTAGCAGGATAGATATAAATCACACAACCAAAGGCCAAGCGTTCGGATCACCACGAAGCGCTCGCATGCAAAGACAACACGATTTCCCGGTCGACCAAACTCAATTACTCCCCGAACTAATCTACACTAGACAGGAGCCTCCAAATGAAACCAGAAGAGCATTGGGTCCGCTACCCGGCCGGAGAAAGGAGCTGAAAGAATTTTCCTCGTCAAGAATACATGTAGTGAACAAAGGCTTAGCCCTCGAAGGTGAAGCTGGCACCAAGCTTGTGGGTAGCCTGGTCAAGCTTCTGGGTATCAAAGGAGGCACCGAGGCCAAGGGTAACACCCTCGCGGAGGAGGACGTTGTAGCCGAGAGCGGCGACACCGTTGTTGTTGACCTTGAACTGTACGCGGAGATTGGTAAGTAAGGATATTAGACAAAAGGGTTGCAAACGGGACAATATTACGCACCTTGGCGAAGGAGACGGGGTCGATGCGGTACTTGCTGGCGACCTCAAGACCAACGTTGTTGCCGGCCTTGGAGTTCCACGTAGCCTTGGCACCGGCCTCAACCTGGGAGTTGACCTTGTGGTAGTAGGAGGCAGCGAAGACGCTGAGGTTGTCGCTGGCGGTGATGGCAGCAGAGTAGGTGGGGGCCTGGAAGCCGACAGCGGCGGCGTAGCCGGTGACGGAGGCCTTGTTCACATCGTAGCCGGCAGAGGCACCAGCGAGGAAGCCCTCGTGGCCGACGACAGCGTCGATGTTGGCGGTGGGACCCTTGAGGAGGTCGAAGAAAGCGCGGCTGTGGAAGTTGCTCTGCTTGAAGGTAAGGTTGAACTTGGCGCCCTTCTTGGCGGCGGCCTTCTCGCCGGCGGAGGGCAGGAAGGAGAAGACACCCTCAGCCTTCAGGCCCTTGGCGAGGCTGTCGGCGAGCTCGACCTTGGTGTCAAGGGCGGCGGCGGTGTTCCATGTCTGGGTGAGGGTCAGGCCTGCGCGATGGTAGAACATTAGCAAATGTGCAAATCCCGGCGATACGTTGGCTGCGAATGAGACAGGACTGCCGTAAGGCCGTCCGTATATTCGACCCAAGCTGAGATTCAAGCGCTTTAAACGATGGGTGGTGGTTGCTGTACCGGTAGCCTTGTCGGAGTATTTGCCCTCGATCTGGATTGGAGGAAAGAAATGTTCAGCAAAGGTTCATCTCTATTTGTTTATGCGACGCTTGATGCATCGTCAAGCGGTGAATGTAGGGCGGGACTTACAGCGCCAGCGGTGCTCTTCTCATGGGAGGTCTTGCCGGTGACCTTGAAAGCAACGTTGTTGGGGGTGTTGCTCTTGAGCTCGAAGGTGGTGGCAGAGAGGTGGTAGAAGTCCTTGTTGAGGAGCTATTGAAGGCCAATGTCAGCTGAGTAGTTTCTTTCATCGTAGATGACCTCGGCTGGGGAAGGAGCCTAGAGCTCGATTTTCCACGTCCGCGATTACCCGAAAAAGGTAGAGAGGGAGAAAAGGAAAGCGCATACGTCGTTGGCCGACTTGGCAATGTCTCCGAAGTTAGGAACAGACATGATTGCTGATTTTTGACGGGGAAGAAGACTTTGGGAAGAAAATTGAGTAGACAATGGGAAAGCGGTTGACGAGATGCGACGGGCAAAAAGAGGCGGGTTGCAGGTGTCCTTTCAGGAGATGGTCTGCTGGGGCGGAAGCTGTTCGAGAAAATGTTTTGGTTGCATCAATTGGTTGACGGGGATTCCCGGCGCAATTCGGTCCGGAGGAGCTTTGCTGTGACGGAGTCGCACTAGGACGCTTTTGGCTGCACGTGGGGGATCTGTTATTGGTTTGTTGGGATTGTTGTCGGCTGGCCAGCTCAGACGGGACTCTGGAGAACAGGGGATCGTAATAAGGTAGAGTAAAGCACTGGGAGAGTGGATGTCGAATGCCAGTAGTGTGGGCTACCTAAGGCTCAGGTGCCCAATGCGATTTTCGATTTTGTTCTTTGATTGTTGTACTCGTTTGCGTGTGTTTGAGTGAATCTGTAGATAGTGAAATCGAGAGCAAGTGGAAGATTGAATTCGGGACAGAAAGTAAGATAGGTAGCGAGAACCGGCAGGCGTGAGATTCTTACAGTAAGCCTAAGAGAAGAGGCAGGCACAGAATTATTTCCCATAGTTCCTGCCTCTTCCCGCTGCTTTGTCCATGTTCGCACTATCGCTCATTCCTCTTCATATGCCTGTCTTTGTGGTGCAACTCCAATTACTCCATCGTGTCACCTCGCCTTTTGACTGCCGACTCTGTTGTCCATCATCTTCACTGTTCATATTGGGGGCTAGCCGAGTCACTGTGGATGCTCGTTTGGCCAGTTACCGGCACTACGCTAACATTCCCGGGCATTCACACTCAATCATTGTTGCACACAAAGTGGACTCTTGGATGGAAGAAGTCAATGGAAGTTGGGGAAGGGTCTGGGATGTTGCTTTCTCTCGTAAGCTCCAGGAACCAACACGACAGGCCAAGACCTGATTACCTATGGAGAGGAGAACAGAGAAGGAAATGGCCAGAAACGCCTTCATCAGACTTTTCGTCCTAGTCACGATCTGTACAAAAACTCATAAAGGCGCAATGGCAGATAGTAATCGCAACTTTCATACCTATTTTTTGAGACTCTAAACTTGTTGAGGGTCTACATAATCCAACAAACCAGGACGCCTTTCCCTTTACCCGCCCGCATTGACGTAAAGTGCTAGGATACAGGTTGTCTTTCCTCCAAATTACCACTTTATGCGGCGTTCTCGTACTTCTGCTCGTGGACGGCAATAGCTCTGTCATGCAACGGGTCAGCAAACCGACTTGGCCAATTCATTTTCACTGGGGAACTGGGGAGAGGGGGGGGGCCTCTTCTGACTCACCTGCCACTGGGGTCCGTCTGCTTGGACCATGTGGGGGTCCAACGCATGACAGTCGAGGCGCAATGCGGCGGGAAGTGCTCGTCGAACATGAGGCGGTACCAGTATCTGTCAAATCGTGTGTCAGCGGCGCCTGATCTTTCGCAACAACAGAAGAGGGATAAATATTGGACAATGCTTACGCTTCCTTGGTGTCCGGAATGTCGCTGCCCCACTCCGGCTTGGGGTTCTTCATCATCTCGTCGGTAACGTGGAGCTCGGCGGTGTCCTTGAGACCGTCGATCCATCCGTATCCGACACCGTCGGAGAACTGCTCCTTTTGTCTCCACAGAATGTTGTCCGGGAGGTACGGCTCGGCGCCGGGCTCGTCGGAGGTGTCGAAAGCCTTACGGAGGATGTACTTCTCCATCTTCTCCTTGGTAATCATCTTCTCTGAGGGGTCGATGTTCATGCAGGCCTCGAGGAACTACGGGAAAATGAAAAAGTCAGCAAAGCCAAGATAGCATTCGGTTTGCACTCTACTCACCTCCTTGTCCAAGAAGGGCACACGCGCCTCAAGACCCCAAGCGGAGGTGGACTTGTTAGCGCGCAGGCAGTCGGCAAGGTGCAGGTTCTTAACACGGCGAACAGTCTCCTCGTGGAACGCCTTCTTGTCGGGAGCGGCGTGGAAGTAAAGGTAACCACCAAAGATCTCATCACTTCCCTCACCACTGAGAACCATCTTGATGCCCATGGCCTTGATCTTACGGGAAAGGAGGTACATCGGCGTGGAGGCACGGATAGTCGTGACATCGTAGGTCTCGAGGTGGTAGATAACGTCGGACAGAGCGTTGAGACCGTCCTCAATAGTGAAGGTCATGACATGGTGCTTAGTGCCGAGGAACTTGGCGACCTCGAGGGCAGCCTTGTTGTCGGGCGATCCGGGCAGACCGATAGAGAAAGAGTTGAGCTGAGGAAGATATGTGACCGTCGACAGCTTGTTGTCGTCGTCGATACCAACCATGCCATCGCCGGTGTCGGGGTTCTCCGTCATGGGGAGCGCGCCACCGTTGGCCTCAAGGGCCGCCTTCTTCAACCGCAAAGTTTCTCTTTGGGCAATGGCAGCCACCAAACTGGAATCCAGACCACCGGACAACAGGACACCGTACGGTACCTCAGCCATGAGTCTCTTTCTGACCGACTTCTCGAGCTTCTCGCGGATCAATTTGAGGTCGAGGGGGGTCTCGGGGATCTTTGCCGCGTCCCACCAGGTAGGCTCGAAGTATCTTGTGGTCTTGCCGGTGGCAGAGTCGTAGATGTGACCAGGCGGGAAGGCCTCAACCTTGTCGCAGACGCTGTGCAGACACTTCAACTCGGAGGCAAAGTACACCGCATCAGGCTCTTTTGAGGACCAGCCGTAGTAGAGGGTGGTGATGCCGATGGGGTCGCGGGCGGCGATTGTGCGGTCCTGCTTCTTATCGTACAAAACAAAGGAGAACATGCCGTCGAGGTGCTTCGGGGCATCGAGGCCATACTCCATGTACTGTGATACGTTAGATATCCATGTCTGCCATTGTAGGTATCAGGTCGCGGGGTGATATTGACTCACCAGAGGAATGACGACCTCGCAATCGGAACCGGTCTTGAAGTGGTATTTGTGCTTAAGAGACTTGCGGATCAAACGATGGTTGTAGATTTCACCGTTGACGGCGAGGACGATGCTCTCATCCTCGTTGGTAAGGGGCTGGGCGCCGGACTCTGTGAGGGTGGTTAGCCGGGGAAGTTGTGGCCAGGTATTGAGGGTAGACTTACCGACGCCGACGATGCTAAGACGCTCATGACACAGAACTGCAATTGGCGGTCAATTGATGGGATATCAATATTCGTGATCAAGGTCAACCTACTCGTCTTGTTGGAAATGACGCTTCCGCCTATGCGAGGGGGTTTTGTCAGTTGTCTGCCTGGTTGGGATTGAAGTAGCGCATCGCGGTGACTCAGAACTCACTCCAATCGGGGCCACGGTGACGAATACTGCGAACTGGGAGTCAATTGATGCGTCTTGAAGATGAACGGTTGCGGACTTACGCCTTTGCCAGCTTCAAAGCCGTAGGCTTGAACTTTTGGACGTCGGGGTGACTGCGCGCGCACACAATCAGTCGCATTCTCCAGAGGCATCATGGCGGGGTTAATTTTTTTTGGGAGGGGAGCTCGCGCTGCCCCTCCATCCGCGCCGAAGTAGGGACGATCTCGCAGTTGGGCTTACCGGTGACAAGCGAAAATGCCACACATGATTGCAGTCTCTCGAAGCTACGGCAGTGTGTTTGTGTATGTGTATGAGATGAACTTTGCAACTCAAAAAAAGGTAGAAGAGGCGAAAGACGTGTCCCGGGAGAATAAATACGGAGCAAGAGGTGGGAGCAGCCGGGTGAAGGGGTGGGAGTGAAGGAATTATGACTCTTCTTGCGCTTCACCCAGTTTTTTTTATTTTATCGTTATTTGTTTATGACCTTAGTTACCCTTTCCATTTGCCGCAACGGCCCCAGAGAGTACCTACTTGGAAGCATTGGACCGCGCTTCTGATACAATGACATCCCCCCCAGCACCTGGCTCATCCGACAAAAAGCCCAGCCCTGACACCCGGTACTTTACCAACCTTGGGTTGTCGGAGGCCGTAGCCGGTGCATCGATAAGGGTCGGGAACGTCAGGACCGTCTACAACTCTGTGCCAAAGTATCCTCAAGGGTTGTCAAAGTGTGCCAAAATTGCAGGTCCGCTGCTACGGAACCACAGTGACTGGCCGCATCTGCACGATACGCTAATCTGCTGCGCTGCGCTAGTGTAACATAGCTGATCCCCTGGGCCGATCTCGGCTCTCGCGCCCATTGGCGAACTGGCCAGTCAGAGTTCACCAGTCTCCCAATTACCTAACCTTGCCAACTGATAAGAAACTGCATCGTGCCCAGCCACCAACGAGAACGCAGAGCAACGAGTCGGTGTGGTTCTGCCGTTTGCTGTTTGCTGTTTGCTGTTTGCTGCTTGCTGTTAATCTGTTCTTCCACGACAGCCCACATATGGTGCCACGGAGACGCCTTCTATCTGGGAAGCTGCAGTTCTTGACGCTGCCGGGCATACTTACCTCACTTTGCTTAGAATAGAGTCTTTGACTGGCGGGAAAACGAGGCTTTCGGTAGCCCGTGTCTTTCACCGTTTGGTAATACGCCCGCTCCTGTTGAGTCCTGACTCTTCAACCCCCCGACTTACTCGTCACCGTGTCAGGGTTCCGGGCCTCATGCCAAGCAAGCTATTGTGGAGGCGCGCTCCTCCGACACAACAGCCCGGCGGCATTAGTTCCGGTGGAATATCCACAGCCGGCGGCTTTCGACGGGTAATAAAACGAGCCTCCCACCACGGCCTGGTGGGGTCTGGAATCACCGCCAAAAGAGTCATCATTACCTACCTGCGTGCCAGGCTCGTGTAATCGATTCGCATAGCACGTCTGCTCGTCTTTCCAAGCACTCAATCGATGCATCTCACACGCAAATACCCTATTCAAAAGATCAACAGCTAGGCTGGAAGTTGAATGCCCACTTATTTGCTTCCCTCACAATATCATTATTGCATTGTCAAATGACATATCGAAAGCAGAGAAGCAGACCGTATGGTATTCCCGTAACTCCGGAGTCCTGCCTATTGGCATGACGCTGTGATCTCGTAAATCTATTCACACATAGCTGCCTTTGCTCCTAAGGCGCCGGGTTTTCTCTCACAACGCGCTTGATGCGCTTCTCGTATTCCGTCTTGTCCTTCTTGAAGAGACTGTAGGCCTCAGCCTGAGCGGGCGATTCGGGGTTGGGATCGTCGAGCAGGTTCTGAATGCCGAGCAGGATCTGCTTCACCGTGATGGCAGGCTTCCACGCCTCCTCCTCGTTCAAGATCGACAGGCAAACAGTGCCGGAGGGGTAGACGTTGGGATGGAACAGCGGAGGGACAAATTTGCCTGAGGAACTTCTGTCAGTTTACTGTATAGTTGCGAGCTTAGGGGTGTTTCCAACTCACACTTGGGTGGCTTCGTTGGGTACTCTGTTTCGCGCAGAATTGTCAGCAACCGGCTTTCACTCCACTGCCATTTCTCTGGGTAACATACCTTCGGGGAATGTGATTGTCAACTTGAAAAGGCCGCCCTCCCAAATCGTCTTCTCCTTGCCAGGAATACCGCACTCCCAGACCTTCAGGTCGAGGGTTCCAGTCGCCGCATTGCGCTGAGGCTTCGCGAAGAAACCAAAGGGGTGGTCCTTGCGCCACTGCTTGCTATAGCACAGCCAGATCAGTTAGGCATTGGTCGTGGAATCGGGGTAGCTGAACAACATACCGCTCCTCTTGAAGTCTGTTCTGGCAAAGCGACATCGTAGAGAAGTGTGATCGTTACTTAGAGTGTATGTGTCAGAAGTCGTGTGCGACGTCTGGCTCTCGTGTCGCAAAGATTGCGGTTGCGCACAATCGGGACGATTCTACCTTCGTATCGGGCAGTGGTCGAGGGATCGAGGCGTTCGGATGACGGAGATGTCGTAGAACGGTCACGCCAGTCGATGTAGAAGAGAAAAGTGGTAAGGCTGGGGAATTTCCGAGGATGGTTCGGTATGTAAAGGCAAAGCCGCAGCGAGTGGAAGTCGTCAACGAGTTACCTGAGGTAAGGCACCTTGCATCTGCCTCACTGAATGCGCCGCGTTGGAAGGCGGAAGATTTTCGGGGTAAGGGTACGTACCGATTTCGGTCAACCAACGGAAGGTGTGAGACCTAGTAAACGTGAGATGCCGCGGTACCTTCCGCAGGAGCTCAGGGCAGTTGGGAGTCCTGGAGGGGGGCGACTGGGGCGCGAGGCGGAACATCAGGTCGCCCAATGGACAAATGGGAGAAAGGACCCCGCCCTAAACCGCATTAGTCCAGCGGCGCGGGGTGCTGGGAATCTGACGTGGGGCTAATGGACCTGCCCAGATGCAAGACAACCCAGGAGCTTCAGGCCGATTCCTCGGCTTTCATCTGACAGTCCATCTTTCTGCACGTACGGATACAAAGGTGACAATCCCAGCCCAGTGCGACTGTCAATCTTGCCCCAGCCCTTTGGAGGCTGTCTATCACCTGCAGCGCCCCGAGGCTCCGGTTTCTGTCGCCTCTATACGAATGCGCACTGCACGATACCTTTGTCAAGACTGAACCCAAGCGCCTTTGATTTACTGCAGCACGCATCGTGTTGGGAAAGAAATCGCATCGGAGGCAATCTGCAAAGATGGAGAAGGACGGTAGCGCAGCCAGCGCCGGCAATGCCGAGGCGAAACCCGTGGTACCGCCAGTGGAAGAGACGAAGCCTACAACTGTTGTTGAGGATGTTCCTGATCCCGATGAAGACGATTTGGACGACTTGGATGGTGCGCCAGCCATACGGAACCCTCTGCCAGGCCTTGGAATACACTGACTCTGCTAGACATGCTCGACGACTTTGCTGCCGTGAATATGGAACCGAAGAGAGCAGCACAACCTGCTGCGTCAGCTACGAAGACCACTGCGGCTGGGCCAGGTAGACCCGCGACAGCTGTGGAAGACGATTCGGAAGACAAGACACTAGAAGAGATGCTGTCTTCCGACGATTTTGCTAAGCAACTTCAAGCTGGCATGGCTGACCTGATTGGAGAATTTGAGAAGAATGTGGGAGACTTTCAATGCATGCAGACTAAGATACGATTGCTAACCACTTACCATAGCCCGAGATGCAAGCGCAATTTGACAGCGTGTTCAAGCAGATTAGTGAGGCTGCGCAAGGAACGGAAACCTCTTCCGAAGGCGTGACCGGAGCAAAAGCGCCACCGCCGCCAGCGTCACCTTCATCTTCAGGCAAAGCTCCCGTTTCCGACCCCATTGCCGACGGTTCCTTCCAGGAGACTATCAAGAAAACCATGGAACGCATGCAAGCATCGGGACAACAAGCGACTGCAGCCGCGGCAGAGTCATCCACCGAAGATTTCCTCGCAGAGATGATGAAGCAGCTCGGCGAGGGCAACCTCGAAGGCGGCGGTGGCAATGAGGAGGAGTTCTCAAAGATGCTCATGGGCATGATGGAGCAGCTCACTAACAAAGAAATTCTGTACGAGCCCATGAAGGAGCTCAACGACAAGTTTCCCGAGTGGTTAGCAAAGAACAAGGAAAAGACGCCAGCAGAGGATCTCAAGCGGTACGAGGAGCAACAAGCGCTAGTCAAGGAGATCGTAGCCAAGTTCGAGGAAAAGACGTACGCCGATTCTAACGCGGCGGACAGAGAATACATTGTGGACAGGATGCAAAAGGTTGAAACCCCTTCCAAATCTGGATTTTCACGCGCTAATAGGAGACAGATGCAAGCTGCCGGCTCACCCCCGTCTGATTTGGTTGGTGATATGCCATCGGCGCAAGAAGCTTTCAGTGCAGACGAGGGCTGTAATCCCCAATAATTGGACATTCAGATGGAAGTCCTGGCAAATATGTTCCTACACAACCGATGCCTTGCTCCGTGAGTTTGCATATACACAGGAGCCATGGCGTATTCCGACCGCCGTTTAATGCCAAACGCCAAGCAGCAATCCCCAGATCCCAAAGCCAAATAGTCTCGTATAAACGCCACAAAGCAAATAGACCAGCCGTGATCAACGCCATGTTTTCAAGACATATCCATATCTTGTGAGGACGCGTCTGGCTGACTGCTTCCCTGTGATACCAGATTCATGAATAACGAGTCGTAATCTTCGTCGTCTGACAGGCCGTATGGATCTGACTGCATCGTTTTCAAGGAGCTAGTCTCGGGCTGCGCACCAGATGACTGATCGTAGGATAACAATAACGCATCGAGCTCGTCCTGCTCCTCCTGGGCGATGGCATCAACCATCATATCGTCAGAGTCATCAGGAATGCGTTGCGCACGCTCTTGGAGAACAGTTGCCGCGTCCTCGATATCTGCTTCGGAAAACATCGCGTTGCCTTCAATTTGCTTGGCATAATGCCGTTGCCGCATGTCGCGATCCCAGTCAGACTTGAGAAGCTGTGAGACACGTCAGTATGCCATACCACAGTCAATAGTGAAACCTTCACGTACAGTGCCCTCCATATCCCGCCGCTGGTATTGACGATCATCCGCACGCTGTCTTACGTTTTGGAGGAACAGCTTCCGCCTGCTCTCCTGCACTTCTTCGCGTTTCCGGACTATCGGGTTCGGTTTCGTAGCTCTTGATGCATATTTGAACTTTGGCTGAGGGATAGGGGAGGACTGTGTGTGTCGTACAGCGTTGTCATTGATTGGCGAGAGGGGCGATGACGCGCGAATGGGCGATGAAGAAAGAGGCGACGGGACTGTGGGCCTGAAATCCCATGTCCGGTCGCTGAAGATGGGTACGGGTCCGGCGACGGAGAACATTTCGGAGCTTTGGTTGACGTCTGGTGTCTTGTCTTGTTGCATAGAGTTGTTGTCGCGAGCAAATGAGTGATCCTTGTGTGCAAAGTTGAGTGTTGGTTGTGCTGTCTTCAAGGTGTCGAGCTCTGGAGCTGAAGCTGGATTTGCAGTTGTCGCCTCTCGCAGGCTGCTTAATTGGACCACGGCGCGGAAGGGTGTCATTGAACGCGACCTGAACGCGGTTGAGCTAAAGACGTTTTGCGCCACACTACATGTGGCTTGAGGGGGCGATGACACGTGAAATCCACTTTTGAAGGGTCCCCTCTCGGCCCAGTGATGGATCATGCAGAAGCAGTTAAGTACGGTTTTCTGGGCTGGACCTGTCCCGGCGGTTTCCGAACGGACCCCGAGGTAAGGATAAACGTGGCGCTCGACGAATGAAAGCGACCGTCTAGAGCACCACCGTTCCCCTACACAGTAGACCCCAACGATATGGCAGGCGCAGGCGCAGGGCCAGAAAGATAGAGGAAGAAAAAAAAGTCCAGAAGAGTTGACTGACGACATGACATTCGACTAATTAGCTCTGGACCGCCCCCAAAGCAACTCGATCCCTTGAAAAACGACTCCACTATCTGTAGCGACTGTTGGGAAAGTCCATATCGAGACTTGCCTCTTTGCATGCAAAAGCAAACACCGAATCTCAACATTTAAACTCGTAGAATGAGCGTCGGCGCTAACAGTTCTCCTGTTTGTCTTATCGTCGGCGGCAGTCGGCCAGCGTCCAGATGAAAGCCTTTACCACCTTCTCGCTCCCATTGCGCCGGCTTGCCACTCGAAAGCCATGGACCTGCTCCAGCTGTCGTGGAGGCCCGTTGGCGCAGCAGTCTAGCCGGGCACAACAGCAGCAACATCAACGATTTAGCAACACCGCACGCGGGTTCTCTTCCACGACCACGAAAGCCGCGATAAACCGGGCCATACCGAAGACCAGCGGTGGTAAGAAAGGTGGTCGCGTGTGGCTTCTTGCTTCAGGCGGTGGCGCTGCGACGGCGGGTGTCCTTGCCTTCGGCGACGACATCAAGTACGGCTACGACGCGGCAGAGCGAGCAGGCCGTGTTGCGGCTGCGCTCGCAGTATGCATTAATGAGTAAGGAGACCCCCTTTCAGAGAAGCACACTCCCATGATGGTTTTTGCTAATACAATTGCAGCTACCGAACGACTCTCAACCAGAAGGAAACGATTGACGACCCCGAACTAGCAAACAAAATCTTAAAAGACTGTCACCAGCGATGCGCTGATCGAACATTGAAGGTTCTGGAGAAGAATGGTGGAATTTTCATCAAGCTCGGCCAGCACCTTGTAAGACCCCCCTATTCTTCGGTTTCTTGTAGCTCTGGAGACTAATACAACCCCCAGAGTGCTATGAATTACCTGCTCCCGCAAGAATGGACAAACACCTTCATTCCGCTGCAAGACAAGTGCCCCGTATCATCCTTCGAGTCGATTGAGGAAATGTTCCGCAAGGATACTGGAAAAGAACTCTGGGACTACTTCTCCGAATTCTCAAACGAACCGATTGGTGCCGCGTCTCTGGCTCAAGTACACACCGCTACAGTGAAGGACAACGGGATGCCTGTGGCTGTCAAAGTACAGCACCCGGGACTAGGCCAGTGGTCACAACTCGACCTGGCCCTGACACGGTTCACATTCTCCACGCTCAAGCGCTTCTTTCCGGAATACGATTTGGAATGGCTCTCTAAGGAAATGGATATCTCGCTGCCGAAGGAATTGGACTTCAGAGAAGAAGAGCACAATGCTAATCGTACGAGGGAACATTTCGCCAAGCTGCCCGAGCACCCTCTCGTCGTCCCTGGTGTATTATGGTCGAAGGAGCGGATTCTGGTTATGGAGCGGGTATCAGGACACCGATTGGACGACCTCGAGTACCTCGACGCCAACGGTATTGACCGAGACGAGGTTTCCGCCTGTCTCGCGCGCGTTTTCAACGAAATGATCTTTGGCCACGATGCACCCTTGCACTGCGACCCCCATGGCGGCAACCTGGCCATTCGAAAGAACGAGTCCAGACGCGGCATCCGAGGCGGCCACAACTTTGACATCATCCTCTACGACCACGGCCTTTATCGCGAAATCCCCCGCGACCTGCAGCGCTCCTACGCCAAGATGTGGCTCGCCGTCATCGATGGCGACATGAAGCGCATGCGCAAGTACGCCAAGGAGGTCGCCAACATCAACGACGACCAGTTCCCCCTTTTCGCCTCCGCCATTACTGGCCGCGACTGGAGCGTCCTCAACAGTGAGGGCTCCGTTTTGCAGACACGCACGGACGACGAGAAGAAGGAGATGGGCGACGCACTACAGGAAGGCCTGATCGTCGACCTCGTCCAGCTCCTTGGCCAGGTCCCGCGCATTATCCTCCTCATCCTCAAGACCAATGACCTCACCCGCAGCCTGGACGAGAATCTACACACCCGCCAGGGTCCGATCCGCTCATTCATGATCCTCGCTCGGTACTGCACGCGGACCGTCTTTGAGGAGCAGCTCGAAGACCTGAAGCAGCGGGGCTCGCTGCTGTGGCCGCCTAATACATTGCGCCTCATGTCCGCGTGGATCGGCTTCCTGAGGGTGGAGTTCAAGCTTGGAGCCTTTGAGTGGTATCTAAGCGCTAAGAGGGCGTTTGGATTCAAGGGCGTTGAATTCGCGGCTCCGGGCATGTGATTGTATTTGATACCTGGACATATGTAGAGCTTTAGACTTGTAATTTGACCGTTAGATGAATGTACTAGACAACACTTTTCATGCCTTTTCTGCCTAAAAATCTTTGCTAGTTTGAAGCGTGGGTCTAAGTTGCTCTGCGATTACTCTATCTGCCGCAATGAATTCCCAATCTAGAAAACAAATGGACTGAAGAGTCAGTCCGCATTGAATATAACCTAGGTAACACTTCTCACATGGTATCATTGATCTAAGTCTCTGGCTATAAACCTCTCTTCCCAGTTTGCATCAGCGTGAGCATACCCTCATAGCCATCCAAGCATCGTCTGACATATTGGTCAGGTGACTACATCGAATAACCCGCTTGATTACTGGCCCGAGGAAAACGATGTGCCAATAATAGTTATATTGGATTGGACATGGTACAGGAGACAGGCATGCATAACTGAAATGACAGGTGTGATGACCTGCAACGTTCGCGAGTGTTTCGATCCAAAGGATGGGCCAGAATAGCAGCCTTTGTACACAGCAGGTAAAGTGCAAAAGTGACCAGCAGCAATGTGGATATAGATGATCATATCATAGGATTGGTATCATGGGGTAGGTACTGAATATGGATGATGAGGTAAGTACCACCAGAAATCCATGGGTTAATAGGAAGATTATTGAGTTTAACAGTGTTCTCATTATCGCCTGCATGCGCCAGACCTATTGACTAAGATACAACGCTCGACTCTTTCATATTCGCTAGCCGGCTCCATCCTAAGCGATAAGGTGGGGGGTATCGGTTCGTAAAAACATCATTTACATGTTGTCGAGACGCTCCTTGGCGGACTCCTTAGCCTCGTCAGAGACGTTGGGGTTCTTCAGAGTGCTGAGAATAACGTGTTAGCAACCAGTCGATGCAAAATGCTTAAGAAATGGGAAAGACGCTTACGCCTTGAGGCCACCAGCAACGTTGCCAGGGTTCTTCTCCTCATTGTCGCCGGCCTTGGGGACATCGCCGCCGTTGAACTCGTTCTCGAGCACCTTCTTGGAGTTCTGCTTGGACTCCTCAGAGGTGTTGGGGTTGTTGATGTTGGCCTTGTGGCCGCCGGCAATCTGGGCTTCGGTGGGCATATTGAAGGTTGGGGGTTGGTGACTGAAGGTAGAAAGGTGGTGTTTGCTATAAAGCTATTGGAAGTTGTTGGAATTATTTGATTGTTTGTTGTTGTGATGATGAGAAGAAGGCAGGTATGTTCCAGAGGTGTTGGATTACCTCCTTCTTATACATCTTCTGGACTCATCAGTATGCCCCCTTTTGACCTAGTCGAGCTCGAGCTGCAGGACGACAGATACACCAAACAAAGCTAAGCTTCAACCCATTCCCCAGACCGCCATCAGAGCTCGTGGTGCTATCCGCATGTGTTGGAGCGGGCAGCTTCAACGTAATTGATGTCATCATTGAATCTACCCCTCATGTACATGGCGTTTTCACTTCGACACTAGAGAATTACCCATAGAACCCAAGCAATCACGATACGGACCTTGTGAAAAGATACATCTTCCTCTAACCCCCTCTGCATAAGGGAAAGAAGCAAGACGTGGAATCAACTCATCCGAGCTACGGCAAGGCTACCGGGCCAACGACTGAGCGGTCTGAACTGTATAGACCTAGTCCCGGCAGCTCCCTCGTAGACAAGTGGCATTCACCCATTCTCGATCATCGATCAAGAAGTCATGACGTCCTTGGTTTCCCTTCTGTGCTTGTGCCCAAGGGGAAAGAGGTCGTTCCCCCAGACTGAACGAGATCGAGATGGTACAAGTCGGTGCGTCGTGGCTTGAATGATGTTGCATGTTTCTTATTCCGCTACGCCCAAGCGGTCGTACTTTGCGTGCCTGGAAAGAGGTTTTAGACATGACTTTCCGTAAAGAGGCACACGTTGTGACAGGGGGGCCGGCGCCGGGGCGAAAGTTGTGGAGGAGGGGCGGGAAGAAAGATGATAGATCGGTCTTAAAAGAAGCTACTGGCTGTGACACGGTGACAGCCTCAAGGTCGCAGCTTCGTGTGGTTAACATGGTTGGTGGTATTGGTTAAGGAAACAGCAGTGCCAGCCCTACAATCCCCTACGACGTTACACTTCACAATTAACGGGAGACGCGGGGTCGGGGAGGTAAAGGGACGGACAGCACTAGGGGAATTCGGTTCATGCCCGTCCGTCCGCCCCTCCCAATTAGGTATCCTTCCGGTCGATTGAGGCGGGATGAAGTCAGATCGACCGATGACGCTAGCGGGGAAACGGCATAGCAGAGGGAAGGAAGCGTAGCAAACACTCCGGGAAGAGGTTCTTTGGGGAAGTGGCCAAGCCGGTGTTCGAGATATGGCACCTCTTTGCAGGAGCTTGGAGCCTTGAGAAACCTCAAAGCAACCAATCTGGAACAGCTCTTTGCTTGATCGAGGCTCGAACCGCCATGCTAGGTACTTTGGGACGCATGTAAGGTAGATCGATCTGATCTAGGCTGCACTTCTCGGCCACCCAACCTTGCCGTCATGACCAAACACCATCGTCATTACTTAGGCGGAAGAAGAAAGGAAGCCTTCATGCTCGATGCACTATTACATCCACCTAACTAATTCCCAGCGATACTTCATTCAATCGCCATCTGTTGGACCTTGTTATGGAGATGCCAATGCCAAATAATTTCACTGGCTGTAGGACTTCACCCAAACGAGGTTCGCCGTGAATGGCCTGACCCGGTGACAAGGACAAGAATGAGATGAGATGCTGATGTGATGGACATCTGACCCCGCCAAAGAGTAAATGCGATTGTTAAACCTCCGCCAAAACGGGCAACGTAAGATCGAAATCTGACATGGCAATCTAGGAGAGGAATGCAAGGTACCGCCCCAAGCCCAAAGCTTGCCAAGATCCAGCCTCCAAGTAGGTATTAGCCCAAAGCAAATAGCATCAAAGCCGCTTCTAGACCGTGCAAGGGGCCGAGATGTGCGGGGGGCTGTGGCCTATGGGGAAAGCTGATCTTGTGCTCATCTTGCGTGAGTCTGTCTGTGTTTGCCAAAAAAAAAAACCCCCCCCTTGCGTTTTAGATAATCCCATCATAACAAAGCTTCGTCCGTACGCTAAGAGCATTACGGCGTGGTGCCGCTAGGCTGGTAGTGCGGCTGCACATAAGGGCCAAGAGGTGATGATTCATCGGCTTTGGTTGGTGATGTCAATGACTGGTCGAGCTAAGCCGGGCCAAGACGCATTCACGCAAATATGCATATTGCGGAGAGCACAGACTCCCCACGGCAGGAGCTTCTTGTCCGGAGGGAATGAGGGGAGATGCAATGATCTTTGCGTCATGATCGTCAGGGGAAGGAACATGAAAGAAAATGTGAGATGCGCATGGATTCATAGATATGTAGAACTGGGACACCTCTCATATTCGTGGATTAGGCCGTTTCTTACCATCCTCCCTCATTCTCTCTTCCTCCGATTGATGGATGTTTATCAGCGTGTTAGGCTATCGGCCATTCGTCTTGGGAAGACGCTGCCAAGTTCAATGAGTTCGATGTGGTAGTGATTCCAGCCAGCCATAGTTGACACAAGGCCATCCTCAGTGTTCATTCGACACCAATCACCCGATTTATCGCCGTGCGCCGCTTAGAAACACGAGATACTTAACTGCCGGCAGTTGAGAAAACGTCAAGAGTCGTGATACTCCACGTCATGTACGGATGCCGCTTGTATGATCAGGAATCAGCCGCAGATAAGGTCCATCGCCTTGAATAGTTGTATAGGAGCCGCGTGTTTTAATAGCGAATGAGACGAGGATGGACATGTGTGTTTCTCGCGGCTCAGTGGCCCGCCGGGTTATGTCGCCCACAACCGTAGCACTCGCGGACCACTCAGTTTTCGACTAATGCATCGCGTCTGTTTCCGAGTGAGACCATTAGGCCTGGCGTAAGACTTTCTACCCTCCCAGCTGTTTTTGTACGGATTAGAACGACCCTATCAAGCCCAAGTACGTGTTGCGAAAAGTCCCCGAGCTGTCCACGGTCATGAATAGATCATCTTGAAAGGAAGAGTAAGCTATTGTAGCAGGCCCATTCTGTTTGTGCCATGTAATGAGAGGCCTCTTCACCGCGATGATGTCTATCTTCGGTGACGATGCATCTTTCAGGCGAAGTTATTGACAGCGCAAGAATTGTCCGCGCCAGAAACCATCGAACGAAGTCGGTGAAGTCAGCCGCTCGGCTAGTGCCGCCGCGGTGCTCATGTCAGATCGGACTTACCGTCCAATCACCACTCCCAGCGCGGCTGTCAGGGAAGAACATACCCACCCTGCCGCGTGGCTGAGCTGAGGCTTCGCTCTGGCCCCTGCCTACTCCCAATCCGACTACACTCCATCCCGTCTCAATTCCCCCGTCCTCGCCGGACCGTCGGCATCCCATCGCAAACCAAACCAAACCAAACCAAACCCTCCTTCCCGTCAATTCTCACAATAATCCTTCAATAGAGCCTCAGCTGATGTAACCACACATCAATTCAAATATTGAAACGAGGCTGAGAAACAAAACACCACACACACATCACTGTCGTGCTGACCCCCATCCACCACTCCAAAATGACATCACCGGACGCCCCCGAATCCCAACCGGGAGCCATTAACTACGTCGCCGGCTTCCTCCTCGTCGGCCTGGCATGGGGCTTCACGACCCCGTTTATCCGCCGCGCCGCAAAGGACCACAACCCGCCCCCGCACCCGGTCCTCGACACCGACGCCGTGAAGAACAGCTGGCTCCGGAGCCGGGTGTACGGCGCCTTCTTCGGCGTCGTCGATCTGTTGCGGAACCCGCGGTATGCCGTTCCGCTGCTGATCAACTTGACCGGGAGTGTTTGGTTCTTCCTACTCATTGGACAAGCTGGTGAGTACCTTTGACGTTTCCCTTCATTCAGGGCCTTTCCCTTAGGGGTAGAAAAACAGTGCAGGAAAAGAGTCGTGTGAATAACGGCAAACATGCTAGAATTGAGTTTGACGGTCCCCATCGTCAACACCTTGGCGTTTCTCTTCACTGTCATTGGAGACTGGTGGGTTGAGAAGAAGGTCATTAGTCGAGGTAAGTGCAGACGGTCCAAAGACAAGGAAGCTCCCTTCGATTGGCTACGATGGCTAAATGTGCAGCAGAAACCTTGGTCGGCATGGTGTTGTCTCTTTCAGGAATAGCGTTATGCGTGCACAGCAAGACGAAGTATTGATTCTGAACCTCTATGGTTTTTGGGGGCCGCTTTTTTTTCCGAGAAGAGACAAGGTGCATGCATGAGATCTGTATATATCGATGTCTCGCTCGAGGTGCATGATGCAAGATGTGGTGTTTGGCATTTTCGATCCATGTAGAATATGTGTAATAAATATATACAGTAGAAGCGAACAACGTGCCTGCGCCAGGCAGCTTCAGTCATCTTATCTTCTACCGTTTCGCAATCCATTTCTTCTCTCCCATTATCAGAACCCTCTTCTCTGTAGTCGTTGGGTCTACCTGGACCTTTTTCCTGTTCAAGCGCGTCCAGCCCGCCAATGAAAAGCTCTGAATAATGCACCCCGTCGAAGAAAGAATAAGGAAACAAACAAACATTATCGAAACGCTCGCTTCGTAAATGGTATCCTCCATGCGCCGTTTATGTCAAAGGTCCCCAATTCTCGATGCTGTCAGAAGAAACATTACTTTTTGGTCTTGAATCATCAAACATCCTCAGTCGTCTCAACTTCGTCTCATGAATATCGCGACGAAGAGCCTTCATGGTCGACGTGCGCGGAGCCAGCGCTGCACACCTCGTTGGCTTGGGTCCTCGGCCGTCCAGCGGCCTATTGCGGCATCGGATGCCTGCAGTTCGTTGTAGATCGCCTCGTCGGTGATGGTAGCGAGCTCCTAGATGTCTCCTATTAGTCCAAGGCGCCCCCGTACTCCCAATACTGTCAATGTGCCATCGACTTACAGCTCTAAGCTGTTGATCACACGCTCTCAGATGCGATTGACTCCTCGAGTTCGGTCGCGCGCCCTGCAGAATGCCATCCCTGTTGGTAACCCATCGCTGCGCAGCAGCTTGTCGCAGATAGATCTTTTGACACTCGTGTCTCCTCGAGAATGCGTCGAGCAAGCATCTGCAAAATCAAAGTCAGCTTGCTTGCTCCAAGATCGACCGGAAGAGCATGTCATACTGCCTCAGCTCCGCCTTCTCCTGCTCAAGGGTCCCGCCACTTGCTTGTGGAACGCTGGTGTCGGCGGCGCAGTTGAGAATGTGCTGCCCGTCGAGGGAGCATTGACGTAAAGCCGCCCAACCTTCTGTGTAATAGTCCTCCATGTTGTTGGGATCCGTGGGTGCTGCTGCGATATAGTATTGCAAAGTACGGAAATCGGAGAGGACTTCGGCTACTCTCGTCGTTCTGTAGTCGTTCACTAATAAGAAAATTAGATCTAAGCGTACCAAAAGACCCTCTGTCATGAGAAGTATATCGTATGAAGGGTCTCTGACGGATAGCAACTTACATCCGTCCATTGTAATAGTACGTAGGGTATATCAGTACTCTTAGTAATCAAAGGAAATCCGGTATGAAGGAAAGAAGTCGAGTGAAAAAAAAGATCAGATAGGAAAGATTAGTGCCAGATTAGCGAACGAGTGGCTATTACTTCCGAAGACCATGAAACACTGGATGGAGCATGATGATCGACATCAAACTTGAACGCCACGCTGTTTTCCTTTTGTATGTTCTGGACGGCCTCCCAAGGACACGAGAATTCAACCGCGAAGGTTTACGGAGCGTAGTCCGAATCAAGGTCAAGCCTGGCTCCCGTCAGGAACCATGAACCAGAACCCATGCCCGGGTCCTTCGAGCGGAGGGAGCCCCATAGGGATGCATGAGCTCAGTGAGAGGGTTGTGTCCAATGAACCCTTGGTTCATCTGGACGGACACCCACGCCCCCCCCAGTTCGCTGTTAGGGCTAGCTGACGAATCGGAAAATACACGCCGGGGCCCTGGCAGTTGGGATGGCTTTGCAAGCTCAAAGCTAGACGGAGACCCTAGCCAAGCTGGTGGCATACCCCCGGTTCCCTGCACGATGATGCGATAGAGACACTTGTCTGGATATCCTGGAGGTCCAGGAGGCCTTGGAATGATGCCAACTTGCGTCTTGAAAGCCTGTAAGACCACGTTCCAGCCCTGGACGGCTATCAGAATTGACGATAGTCTGGCGTGTAATGTGGGCAGGTCAGCATGCGGGATCATGGCTGCGGCCACTCAACATGGGCCGGACAAGGCTGCATGGGATGTGAGACCTGGGCCGGGGAAAGGGTGGGAAGATCTGGGACGGTAGGATGGAACGAGCACATGGTCTTCGACGGCAGGCAGCCGGGGGAAGAAGAAGATGGGATGACGGAGTAAACAAAAACCACAAAAAAACCAACGAGCCTCCATCAAACCCATCGAAAGTGAGTCTTTTCTCCGGTAGAACGGACAGGTCGGTGACAGGGATGCGGAATAAGGTAAGGCTGGTGGATCTTCAGCTGCATCCACACTAGACTTGGCGGCCGGAATAGGAAACGGGCTGGAGCTTTGCATGCAGTGCTGCTCCACAGCTTCGTGGCTTGACGGGGATACTAACCAATCAACCGTCAAAACTGTGACGTTCGCCCACGACTGGCACGTTTGGCACGTTTTATTCCAGCTGAACCAGTATCGTAAAACCGTCACCCGCATTAGGCCCCCGTCCCCGTTCCCCTTTGCGACCTAGCAGAAGGCTGACTGGGAGACTCGAGAGGTGTTTTCCTTACGGCACTCGATTGCTGTGAAAACGACTGGTCGGGAGCTTTTGGGGGCTGATATCTCCAGCTCTGACTCGGGACGCCATCTTCCTCGAGAACCGTCATCCATGTCTCGGCCTCGTGAACTCTGCAGCCCCCAATAAAGGAAATATGGCTTTGCATTTGCACAGCATTTCTGACTTCGGGTCGCTGAGCAATCAGGAGCTCTCAATGGACCAACCTGCAATTATTAATGTCCTTAATCATCTGCAATTTTTGCTTTTTTGTAGAAGTCGACTCACTTAATACCACTGGCCGCCCTATGAGACCGTTTCACGACACCTTGACAGCCTCATGGGAGTATCCGACGCCCGTTGTTTGATATTGCTCCCACAGTTTGACTGGGCCATACGAGCGCTCATATTTTCTACTGTCTCATATCTCCTCGTCAAGGTAATGTCCGGCGCAAACTCCGTGAGTCACGGTATCCGCTGGCCTCGGGCAAGCCATGACTTTCCCAGCATGCCTACCTGATCAGCCCTCAGCCAAGCCACAAATCGCAGTACAAACGCTTTCGCATCAATAGCCATTGGATTGATCATGGCAGCATCTTTCAAATATCTTCTATAGTGGTTGGTAGGCTCGCTAGTAGTACAATCGTGTGCGGGGATCTCGGTTCGCGGGACTTTAAGCTTGATTCTCATCTGCAACATCCCGCAAACTTCATGCGTGATCTGGCCTGTCGACGCATCAGTGTCACTTTGGACTGAGCATCCGCCGCACCAACCATTCTCAGCTTCCACCGGCCGGAATGTGTTTCTTCCACCTCAGTCCTTCTCCGCAATCGCCTGTAACCGCTCGTCGATCTCATCTTCGGTCAGGATGCGGAAGCCGGGATCGGTGCCCTCCTTGCCGTCCGCACGAGGTCCCCCAACAATGCCAATCTCGATCTCGCCCTTCTTGAAGTCCATGCTCAGGACAGTGCTGAGCGTCGTAATGGCGAGCTCAACAACTTCCGTCCAGTCGCCGGGGGCGTGCTCCTTGTTGCGCAGCTTCTTCTCGAGGTGGTTAAGAGCCTCCTGTTGCTTGGGACCGGCCGCAGTACCCTTGTAGCCAATGTAGTATCCGGCGGGATCGCACTTGAACAGCTGAGGTCCGAACTCAGAGTCCAATGAGATGAGCGTCGTCGCAACACCATACGGGCGCATGTAGGCCTAGGCCACTCGTCAGTTTCTGTTCTCACCGCCACCTCGACGTTTGTATTCTGCTTACTCTTTGTGTGTAGACCTGGCTGATGTTGGCCAGCCTCTTTGCCAAGGCATCGGCGGGCATTTCGTAGCCGTACTTGTAGCGGAACTCTGCTGCCTCGCCCTGGGCACGCTGGGAGAAGGCGCGGGCATCGGCGATGGAACCCGTGATCACACATCCAACAGATGGAGAGAGCTGGAAGAGATGGGAGACGGAGGCGGGGTCGATGAGTTTATCCTTGTAACTGGGTCAGTCCCTCTCCCTCTACGGTCATCTCAGCTGATTCTCGACCTACAGGGACCTTCTTCTGAGACAGGACAACGGCGCAGTCCTTGCCTCTGACACCTATCGACATGATGTTGGCGGCTGTGATTGCCTTAAAGGCATACTCTATTCAATATCGTTCCGTCAGTCCCATCGACTACTTCCAGACCAGGTCGGTTCGAGCCCCGCATGACGGCGTCACCACAGGGAGGGGCAATCGGAGATTCGCAGGAAAGGAGACTGTGCATACCGACTTGGTACAATCTTCCCTGCTCGGAGAAGATCGTGATGTGTCGGTCGTAAGCTGAGCCACCTGATTGAGGGGAGACATGTTAGCTATGGTGGGCATTCACATGTGTTGAGGTTAGCTATCCTGGGACGGACGTACCCGACATCTTGGCGGTATTGTTGTGGTTGTGTTGATCAAATTACGTTGAAGAAAATCGTGGCCGGCCGTCAGTTCCTCGAACGAGTCGTTGATGGGTGAAAGGTGGAGGTGGATGTCGTCAATGAAGTCGGGGTTGAGCTCTGGCGGAGCTCTTGGATGTCGACGCGTTTGCAGGAGCTTGCCTGGAGCAGAGGCAACGACAGCGGCGGGAAGCTCCAGACCTGGGCTGGAAGGCTGAGTGGATGCCTTGAACCTGGGGTCCATTCTCTAAGGCAACAACTCTCCCACGACGCAAAGCTTACATAAGGCAACGCCCATAGCTGCTCACCTCAGCACGTGCTGAGTCTAGGTACCTTAACACTGGAGCGGCACTTTCCAGTACGTACACTGATTGACCAGGGAGCAGCGGGGCACCCCTGCCCAGTGGGAACGACAACGCATCTCTGCTGCCAAAAATTTGGCAGGGCGGTATTCAGAGCCAGAAAAAAAAACTACTGGGACCATTCCCGATACTCTCTTTTCAAGTGTCAAGCACCACCAATTGCGCCCAATAGGACTGCGGTACACGAGGCCACAGCATTCCAATCGAATAAGCCAATCGCACGTGGAAAACATTGAAGCGGCCCAATTCTGTATTTGTTGCTTGTCTCGTCAGGCCAAACGCGCAGAAACGCAAATTCCGATCCAGCAGCGGCCCGAGAAAGCAGCAGCGCCCCTCCCCTCCCTCCAGAGAAAATCCGAAAGACAAAGCCGTTCACAGCAAAGAGCAAAAAAAGAGGGTGTGCCCGCTGCCCGTCATGTCCTCCGCACCAAACGTCCCGGCCTGGAAACGATTGGGCCTCAAGCTCAAGCAGCCCGCATCCGGCGCAGAGATTGGCGGCCCTGCTCCTGCCGAGGGATCGAAGCCCAACGGGCAACAACACCTCGACCGGGACCCCAGCGGTCCCGTCGTCAACGCCGCCTACGCCTCGCCGGCCGCCGCCGCCGCCGCCAAAAGGAAACGTCTCGATCAGCCTACTCCTCCCCCTGCGTACAACTCCAACTCCCCCTTCAAAAGGACCCGCACCGACGGCGACAGCAATGCAACGCCGACCCTGAGGAAGCAAAAGTCCGTGACCTTTGCCGACGACGTCAAGAAGACCACCACCGCCGTCGACCCCAAGAAGAACAAGAAGAAGAGCAACAAGCCTGCCAAGCCAGCGACCCAGCAGCCGACTGCCGATATCAAGCCCTCCCTTGAGTACCTCAGGACCTGGAAGTCCGCCCGCCAGTCGTGGAAGTTCAACAAGAACCACCAAACGATCCTGATGAAGCGGGTATTCCACGCCGATGCGATCCCGTCGAGCGATATTGGTACCTTTTACGAGTACATCCAAGACCTCAAGGGCTTCACCCGGTCGAGGCTGCGGGAGACGGCGGCGGAAGTGAAGAAGGACGACGCCGAGAAGGGCAAGGCTGCCTTTCCCGTAGGCACGCCGGACATGGACTCGAAGCAGTCAGAGTACGAAAAGGTACTGGCTGGTCTCATGCAGCTCGGCAATGGCTCCGGCTCCAAGAGGAAGCGCTTCGACGAGGCCGGCTTCGTGTCCAAGTCTACAGATGTTGCCATCACCCACAGGGTCATCAAGCGCATGCGTGCCGAGACGATATTGGAGGAGCTGTCTGACAGTGAGGATAGCGATGCCATGACCATTGATACCGAGGAGACGGCCCCTCCTCCCCAGGCGGCTGCGGCTCAGGAGGATGAGTCTGCTGACAAGCGGGTCAAGCTCAACGATGGCACAACGAAGGAGAAGGCTCCTCGCCGTCGCAAGAGACGCACCAACGTCGACGATTCGAGCTCTGAGGAATCGTCTGATTCAGACTCCTCAGACTCGGACAGCGACAGCGATTCCGAAGATGAGTCGGACAACGCGAGTGAGGTGCAGCGCCAGGCTGCTCAGCGAGAGGCTGAGACTTCGAGTGAATCTTCCTCGTCGTCGGAAGAGGAGGATGACAGCAGCGAGGATGATAGCGAGGAAGAGGAGGAGGCCCCCAAGAAGCGGACAGGGACGAAGAAATAGTGGCACTAATCAAATGTCTGTCCCAGTACACTACCTCGATGTCAGGATATAGAGGATGTTATGTCTATTTATTTCATTAGGAGCAGACTGAGTCTCCATCAAAGGGATACCCACGAGTTTCTACCTCCACTCAAGAAGAATACAATCTGGTGAACCCAGCCTTGGGCGGCTGCAACCAGTTTCTCTCGTCATACTTGTTCCCCTCTCCCTCAATAACGTGGAACGTGTAAATGATGCGTCCCTTCTGGCTCAAATTTTTCTCGCTCTTGTGCAGCAAGTTCCCGTGAATCAACACCAAGTCGCCAGCCTTGACCTCCCCGGGCACATACTTGCCCTCCCCAGCCTTCTCCTCCTCGGTCGCCTTCTCAGCGCCGTACACATCGCCAGGCGGGAACCGCGGGCCCTCATTGTCCACCATCTCCGTCCCCGCGTTGCCGGCCTTGCGCACGAGCCGGCTCGACACGGGCGCCCAGCGGTGCGAGCCGGGGAGGAAGCTCAAGCACCCGTTCTCGAGCGTCGCGTCCTCGAGAGCGTACCAGAAGCCTACAGCGGACGGCGGATCCGTGTACAAAAAGGTAGAGTCCTGGTGCGGGGGCACGGCGCCGCCAATCTCGGGCTGCTTGCAGATGATCATGCTCTGCAGGCATCGCGGGTCCCGGAACCCGAGGCTGCGGGCCACGGCGGCCGGTTTACCTCGGACGGGGCCGCTCCCAGTACCGCCGGTAGCAGAAGACGCGGGGTCCGAGATGGCGGCGAAGGGCGGGGAGAGGACGTGCAGGTAGTGGCCAATCTTGTTGATGGCACGGGCCTTGGGTTTCACGAGGTTGCCCTCGTCGTCAAAGGCGTCCTCCTCAAAGAAGAAGCGGACCTTGTCGCCCGAGGAGAGAAAGTAGTCGTCACCGACGTGGTCTGCCTTCTCGCCGGTGGAGAAGCGCGTCATGGGGTGGTCGCCGAGGGAGAAATTGTCCAGCAGGGAGTGGGTCTCGGCGAGGAGGCCGGAGACCGTCTCCGGGGATAGGGCGCCGGGGATGACGAGGTAGCCGTCGCGGTGGAAAGATTCGAGCTGCTCCGGGGTGAGACCCTCGTCTTGTGCGGGGAACGTCATGGTGATAAGTCGTGTGTAGGTTGATAAGAGAGAGCGGTCGAGCTCGGATCGCAAGATTTGAGAGGATTGAAGCTATTTTGATGTTTCTGAGCGAGAATGCTTGAGAGGAGCCAGTTGTTTCTCGTGAGGTTTGGCAAAATCGCATGGGCTCATTTGAGTTTCGCAGTGGCGCACCGTTTGATATTGGGCGGGAGAGATGGTTATGTGAATGCGGGGATGCGGCGGGTCCCGAATAGGTACATTAGCCCGCGCTTATCTACATCGCCTCACTGCGTCACTTTTTGACATTCATCACCACTTGAAATCCAGCAGAAGGTAAAAGTCGTGTATTCTGTGTTGTATACCTGAATTATTTGGCGCATATACCAGATACACCCTTCTCGTCAAATCATCTCAAGCCGCTGTAAAATATCAAGTATGAAAACTCCTTCGTCATGTAAGCTAACGGGAAGGGAAAAAAAAAACACATGCACCCCCCTTGAAGGCAAATGAAGACGCCGGTTTTCTGTATGCGCGACGGTGCGAAGCTGATTCTGGTCTCAATCTTTGGTCGTTGGACATGTCGGTTACGGCATGGGGTCGTTGAGGAACTCGTAGCCCTCCTCTGGCGGAAGCAAAAAGGCGGAAATGGCCAATCCAGCGGCACACAGGATCGAAATTGAAGCGCTCACGGTACACAGGATCCAAGAGGAGTCCAGGCCCCAGCCAGGAACCTGGAACTGCTCGTCGTTGTCGTAAAGGTATGCCTGTGAGGAAGAACACTATATTTAGCGCTGCTTTCTCGTGTCCGGCGCATTCAGTAGACCACTTACCACAATACCCATCAGCGTGAACTCGATGGCCGCGACGAATACCAGGAGCCCGCCAAGAACTGTCCAGCCCGTTTCGCGCTTGTATTTGCCGCCGCCCATGATGACAAGAAACGTGACGATGGACGCCAGATGCAGGATGGTCGAGAAGGAGGCGAGGAAGCCGACAGAGCGCCACATGGAACAGAAATAACGTTCGCCATTTGCACACAACTCCTCGGTCGGAAACACCTGACAAGGCTCGTCGAACCCAGTGGAACAAGATCGATGGAGACCGATGTGTTTTGAGTATTCCTTGCCCTCGGCGGTCGTTACGGTGTAGGTAACCCAGTGGGGGAGCGTAATAGACGCAATAATCATTGCCGTCGCTAAATGTACAGGTCAGCATCGCCCACGAATTTCCATATCATTTTGGAAGCATTTGTTATCGTTCCTCCCTTCTGTTGTGCCATAGCTGTGTGTCGTCGCAGGCCTCCGAGCTGAGGTGCGCTCATAAAAACAGCGATGACGATGCTGGGTGGATCCCTCTGCTTTTGGCTTCTCGGGGGGCGGGCGCAAGGCAGAGATGCTACTTACCAGCGACAAAGGCCACAAGGGCGGCGCTGTAGACGGAGACTCGTGTCATCTTTGCGAATCGATAGCTGTATAGGAACAGGTCACTGTAGAGTGTAGCAAAGTCGTTGTTGTCTTCTTTTCCCTCCTTTCTGCCTGGGAAGAAAAGAAGATGGGTGAGGCAAGAATTGCAGATGGCCAAATTGCCTTGGAAGGAACAACTGGATCTGGGATGGGAAAGCTGGGGGGGTTGTCTATCAGCGATTGGTGGTGGCCAGACCGGTCGTCGTTATGACGCTACTTGCCTGATTCGGGAAGCCGTGGGCAAGGACGCGCGAGGTGTGGTGGGCTTGCAACAAAGGTTACGTAGGAAAGGTACATTGGTCACCATACATTATAATGCAAATCAAATGTAGCTTTCCGCGACAGCAGGAAAATAGCTACAGGCAGTTGCAGCTAAGAGTTGCAGCGAACATGCATGTCACGGGGGCACCTGCCACACCATCCTGCTCTTGTCTCTGCTCTCACATCCCACCCTCTTGCTGTGCTTTACTGCCACTGCTTGCTGCTGCTGCTGCGGCCGTCACCTCTCATCTCACAGATCACCACCTGCCCACTCCCCGCTACTGCAACCGCCGTGTTTCTGACCAGCAAAGATTCCCCTGCTTGGGTGCCATCGCTGGCTTAGTGTCGACCCGAAATTGTTAGTGATGGACAAAGCACCATCTCATCTTGCTTTCCCTCACCTTAGCGACACCTTGGTCTTCACCGCTCGATCCTGCACGGATCACCGTCTGAAGGAAGCTCAAGCTATCGCTCTCTGGTGCAGTCCAGCTTCGTCGCAGCCCGACTTCTTGCCCACCAGCAACTCCGGGGAGAACACGCTGTCAGGAAGACAGATGCGCCCGTAAGTCATTATACGAATGTCGTTGGATTCAGAAGTTCGGAACAGATATTCCAGACGACGAAATTGAAGCAATGTGGCCTTCTTACACGACTGCCTAAACCAACTTGGCCTGCCGTGCTATTGCCTGCGAAACCCCAGCTCTGTCAGACGTCTGAATGGTGGGGGTTGCGGAGTAATAAACAACAACAAGATCGTTATCTGCACCCGCTCTCAGAGTAACGCATGTCCAGACTGCCAGACCAACCTGCAAAACCGGCCGACTCCTAGCAGCAGCAAAAAAAACCAATGCATGCCAGGTTGCTGGTTGACATCCATTATGTCGGCTCCGGACTTACCGTTCCGCCGTGTTTCCATCAGCTCAAGCCCAGCCTCGAAGAATTATCATTCGCTCTGTTCCGATCACGACGGAGCCCTGCCGCTAAGCTGCCTTGGCATAATACGCCTACGGATAGCTTGTGCAAGCACCAGAAATTGAGTCTACGCCAGATCGCCGATCGTCGTTGAATGCCGATACCTGAGAACTCAAATCAGATTGTCAACCCCCTTTGTCAACACTGCTTGCCTCCATCTGGAATTCTACAAAATGGTGTAGGCCGTCGATGCTATGGAAGATAAGCCTTTCCTGTTTCCGGTACATACGTGGACCGCGCGAGTTGCCGGCCGTTGTCACGGCCTCCACGTGCTGGCGTGCGTGTTGGCCGCTGACCTCACCTCGGTGAAGCCGTAAGTGTTCGGGCCACACGATATCTCCGGTTCACTAGCCCAGGGTACAATTCGAAGGTGCCTGTGCCGCGGGGAAGCATGGGCGCTGAGGCTCTGGGCCACGATGACAGCCGCGCCAAGCTGCATAATTGCAAGGAATCAACGATTGCGAAAGCGACTACAATGAGCGACAACACGCAGTTCCTCTCGTTTTCTTCGATTTGCGACCCTTTGGGCTCTTGGTTTGACTAAAGTTGCTCCTGATCAAATATTCTCACACGACGGCATGGTACTCGCAAACCTAAGATATCCACGACGGCGTGGTCCGTCCTCTTTCCCTGGCGAAGCGCAGACCTGACGCTGGTATCCGTATATGGTTGGCTCCGAAACCAAGTGCACCAGTTATTATTGTTCATCTCTAACTGCCGCACACTCACAGAGTTGGAGAACCGTGTTGCTTATGGGCACCTTGATTGGCCAAATGCTGTCTCTCGACAACTCGCCATTTCTTCATTGTGAATACGCCGATTACCCGCAACAAATTTGGGCTGAAGATGCACGCGCCTCGAGAAAGACTTTGTGTCGCAAATCACAAACTGACAGCTGGAAATTCTGCAATTGCAGAGTCACGGCAACCTTCAAGATCCTCTGCACCGAGAGCGGATCACTGCTCCATCCATCAAGCGGAGACCGGGCCTTTTGCGGTCTTGTCAATTGCTTGGGGCCAGGGTGCTGGCTGTGAGTGCCCTGGGCGATCTGTTTACCCTAGAAAAAGTTCGACCGAAATCTCCGCAGAAATCCGATCTGCGATCTCAACAATAGCAAAACGGCGTATTCTAGAATGTTTTGCGGCTTTGCTAGGCAGCTGCAATAGGTAGCCAGCTGAGGCGGTCAAGCGGGAATTAATAACAAAAAGTCTACTCGGAGCTTCATTTTCAAGGGGTGGTCGATTCTGGCATATGTCAGAAGCACGCATCATCGCGAGGCTAGGCCGCATCGATATCCAAAATCCATGCTTGAGAAACATCGAGGGATCATAGACTCGCGGAACCCCACCAGAAAGACCAGGCTCGGGTTGCTTGTGATGCCGACCTCCTATCGCGCTTGGGGCAAAGCCTCTTTATCGCCCGTATCTTTGTTCGGTCTGTCTGGTCTGACTCAATTGCCCGGAAGCGGTGGGAGCGCCATCTACGTCCACAATCCTCATCCTATGGAAGAAGGGTTGTGTCGTCCCTGGCTAGCAAGCCTATTCTTCCCGGATCTGATTACCAACCCATGCTTTCTCGGGAACCATTCACCGCGCTTCGTTCGATCACGCCAGAGGCAGGGCATGCAGAGCCATCCCTCCAACGCGCGACATGCCGCACCAAAGATGGGTTTATCGGCCAGTCAAGGAACCGGATCGGGGCGAGCTACCCACAACGCCTGAAGCTAAGTCAAGGGTAGCCCCGAATGGAGGGGACAGCAATTAAGGTGAGTTTGGGAAGGTCACCTCGCTTCAGCGCAGGGTCCTCGGTCTCTCTACAATAACTTACGTAGTCCATTTTTGTTTTCTTCCTCTTTTACTTGGCCGCGCGCTTCGGACAAAATCCCATAATCCCCCGAGCTGCGAATCTTGAACGTCATGGAATTCTTTCACACCCTTGATCTTGACTCTTGCTGCTCCCCGCGACTCAATTTTAGGTGATTCAAGCCCAGCTTCGGTACTTTTCAAACGCAGAAGTGTCCATCGCTTTATGGACACAGGAACTCGAAGCAAGAGCTTATCGCACAATTCTGGACCACGGCGGATACCTGGTCTCCATTGATCGATAACGATAACGAAGTTGACGATTTGCTTGCTGAGCGACGATACAGATCTTTGCGCCCATACACGAAGCGCAATTGGTAGTGGTACTTACCGCTCAAAAAGAGGACGACATCGCATTATCAATATGGGAGATCAACGCCATCACATGGAGCACCGGCCAGTGCAAAATAGCGCAGTCTTTGTGCTTGGCGCAAACCACTGCGACTCAATGCCCCCTCCCTCGCCTCCTTCACCACCAGTCTCACCCCCAGAAGACGACTTTTTGGAAGAATTGGAAGAGCTCAGCCTCGGATCGCCCGACGACCTTCCCGAGAACGACGACAGCTCCGTCAAAGTCCAGGACAGACTTCATGCCGCTACACACGTTCTCAAGACAGAAGCCGCAGCATTGCGATCAGTCGCCAACTTATACGAAACAGATCCCGTCGCTCGGGACGGCTTCAACAGAACAGTCGCAGCCATTACACGGCACAAGGGTGAGAAGGGAAAGCTCATCATTACCGGCGTCGGAAAGTCTGGTCACATTGCGAACAAACTTGTTGCGACATTCAATAGCCTTTCACTCACATCCGTGTTCCTGAACCCGATTGACGCGCTTCACGGCGATTTGGGCATTATCCAGAAGCACGATATTCTTCTCTTCATCACATTCTCCGGAAAGACCTCCGAACTTTTCAGCCTATTACCACACTTGGACAAGCCGTCATCATTAGTCATTCTCACCGGACATACGAGACCTGACACGTGCGAGCTTATCAAACTCCGACCAGACACGATCCTTCTTCCAGCACCAGTTCATGAGAGTGAGACATCGTCATTTGGTGTCTCGGCTCCGACAACGTCCACAACGGTCGCTTTAGCCGTCGGCGATGCGCTTGCCATTGCCGCCGCGCAGGAGCTGCACCCGAGCGTCGCACAGGTATTCTCCAAGAACCATCCGGGTGGTGCGATCGGGGCCGCCTTCCGGAAACCTCAGACAATCCTGGACTTGGCTATTCCCTGGGTGGACATTGATGACTCGGAGCACCTTTGCGTAGATAGCAGCGTCGGTGCGGACCTCTTCCGGGCCGCCTACGACTCGCCATCAGGCTGGGTTCGAGTCGGCGACGCTGTGGCATCGCCGAGCCGCATCAGGAAATTGGCAACGGTGGACTTCACACGATCTTTGAGAGACATCCCGCATCTTTTGGTTTCGAGGGCAGAGATGCTCTCCATCTCCTCCGGTACGACGATACGTCGCGCCGTGGACTTTTTGAGAAGCATGCAAGGCGCCGCGGATGACGGCGAGTACGTTTGTAATTCGGACTCTCTCCTGGCTGTTTTGGACCATGGCGACATGGTTGGCGTTTTGGAAGCTGGCAAGCTCTTGGAATGGAAAGATTGAGGGGGCGCAATTGGACTTTACTGTAGGTATGTTATGTGCCCGTTCGGGATGACATGTTGGGACCGGGTACGAATTTTTTCATCGTTCACACCTGCCCATGCTGGAGATACGCGGGTGGAGCGTTCATTTAATCGGAAATCATCTGGGAGAATCATGTCTTGCCTCTTGAAGTTGGCTTTACGACACTGTCTTTAGACGTTGGGAAACTGGATCAGGGCCAAAATTGAGTCCGCTGAGTGGCATGGCGACTATGCCCAACCTTTTGCGTTCCCGAGCTTTTGTGAACCATCTTGTGTGGCCATAAAATCACGCTCAGGCAGTCGATGCCGTGTAATGGATTTGGTGCCCAACTACCTGCAGCCTCACTACGAAACAGTAATATCAGGTACTTCGCAAAGTTGAGCTGAGGTGAGCTACAGGCAACATCCCTCCTGCGAGCTCAGCGCGTCATCGAAGCTGTCTACCCAAGCCTAGCCCAAGTTCTCCCCTCCGGAGTCTACTCCGCAGTACTACGTTCGAAGTAGAAAGTCGGGGAAGCGTCTGCTCTGGATGAGTATGTGATGTGTGGAAAAAACTCTATTTACAAGTGGTCCCCAGCCTCCCTTCGGTGATGCCCAGCCAGATCCATGAATCCACTTTTAGGCTTTGGAGTTTTCTGAAAGCTTGCCCGAGACTCCAGCGTTACAGTGCGTACGAACGTTGAGATTCTGGGCGGCGATGACAATGGACAGAATAAGACGATCGTTGCTGGTTAATGAAGCTGGGATCTTGAGAGAACTTCACAGATCCAATATCGGAGTGGAAATGACGTAAATGGGAGCTAGATTGGTGCTCTGTGGCTCCGACGTACTCTGCACGGAGTCTTTCGGTGAGCCTTACTACACGCCCCCTGCGCTCTTCCCGCTCCGGGCGAACGCCGGGTCGAACCCGGCCGAGAAATGCGGGAGTCGGGTGTCGTGCCTAAGCTTCGGGTGCGATGAGCCGGGTGATCGGGCAGAGGTAGGGTGCTGGAGTCCAGGCAGAGAAGACACCCGAACGGGGGTAGATTCGGCTGATGACTGCAGTAATCCAGCAACCCAATCACGAAGTTGCCGCCTCAACAGAAGGGCGAGTCATATTTTCAACCTGACGAGATAGGGGGTTTTAGAGAGAAGCGAGCTAGATCAAGGCAAGGGGGAGGCTTCAATTCGATAAAGCATCGTCTGGATCTCATGGTGGAACTGGTGGTGATGATGGCTTCAAAAACCGTTGGCGCACCACGTATTTTCCACAGCAACGATGCGGGCAGTAAGAGAAAAATTCACTAGCTCAGGTCGGTTGCTATGGAAAGTGAGACGAGGCTTGGTAGCTGCACCAGAAGCTTTCCCCCAAGAAGCAGAAAGGGAGAAAAGAAGAAGACCAGACGAACTACATTAGCGGCTTTCAATTGTTTCCAAGAGAAGCAAAGAAAAAGGGCACTAAAACACGGACACTGTGCAACGTCAAGCAGCGCCCTTTGTTTTCTCTATTCAAAAGCTAGTAGAACCCTAAGAGACGGGCTTTGCCCACTGACCGTTGGTCCGAGTACAGCGGACGAAACCAAACGTCTGCGAGCTAGAAACGAAACATGGCTGAATTTCTGTGTGGCGGCTCTGCGAGATAGACGAGTCTGAGGTTGTTGGGGCTGAGACATACTTACGTGTTATGCATGTTTACTTACCTGGTACTCTAACTGAAATATGCCTCGTTGTCCGAGAATGGATTTTGAGGGTTTTCCAAGACTCATCGTCATTGTACATGCCATTGCGTGGACGGACGAGCGTCTAGAACGTCTTGGCCAACATTCCTGGAGAGTCGTAATGATGTACGCAATCCCGCGATCCCTCACGGAGGAATATGTAAGTATATACGATACAGCCTCTCTCAGTCTTCAGAACGTCTTGGATGCGGAGGAGTGATATGCCGACGGGGAGTTCTTGAAGAACATGATGCATCTGGGCGCCTACCTTAGGGTGAGGTGATCATCCTACCGGACCCCACTGTGAAGGGTGATCTTTTCAATTTGGCGAGATCGCGAATTCTTCTTTATGTGTTTAAAGCTTACAAGACGAGTGACGGGCCGATCGATCCGCTGTGGTTCTTTTGAATTCTCGTGCTTCTATTTTGGTCCCGCAGGGGAAAGACGGGTAGTCGTCAGCGTTCAGCTCTTGGCGGCAAGACCTTTGGAGCCGTAGAGCCAGAGATGATGTCGTGAACGCGGAAGTTGAAGCTTTGTGATTGGTGGTTTCGGGCTTTTCTGGGAAATGCTTCACGTTGACGGGCCTGCTTGTTTCGCCTTTAATCCCATTGTGAATCTCTCATTGGGGCGGCGTTTTGGCGAGTTGGGGCCCATTGAGCGCGTCAGCCAGTGAGGCTCAGTCCGGGATGATGTGCATGTACCCTGCTTGCAGCTGCGGGCCTTGGCTAAAGCTGGAGAGGGCCTTTACGGGAGGTCCGCAGCAGAACTTCTCGCGTACGGATAGAGTGCTCTTGGAGCCGAAGACGCGGATTGAGTTTCGTTCAACTCCGCGGGTATGAATGAAGGTGTCGGATTCCAAGGAAATTGGAAATGTCGAGGGCGAACGCACTGGTAAGTTGATTAGCGGTGGCAATGATAGCCCAGAGACGTCAGACTTTGAGGTCTAGCTGCCTCAGTCGAGACACCAACCACCTGTTCACTTGGAGAGCCATCTGATAGCCTGCAAGCGGTGCAGTGACAGCGCAGAGGTATGCAACGCTCTCAAGCTCGTGTTTCAACTTTTTGACCACGTCGTCTGCATCGGTCTGTGGTGTCTTTGCTGCACGCATTTTCCCCGTACTGTGCCCACGGGCGATGGAGCGAGTCACGGCTTTGGGCCCAATCCTCGATATACCGTGAGAAATAGAGTAATCCGAGTGGCACAGTTCGAAAATGCCATATTGACCTCTCCTCTTTGTCACTCTTTACTCTAAATCCCTCCCCTGCAAACGGCCAGCGGAGCAGACACGGGAAGCAATTGATGGGGGCTCGGGTAGCATCTTCGACATGGCTTGTCGTCAAGCGAGGCGAGATGGCCGGCGGTAAAGACGATGAAATGACGGCAAGGTGAGAAAAAAGGTTTGAGAGGGGCACCTTTTCGGAGTCTCGAATCCTTGCTATTCAGCTCGCGTACCCCTGTGCTACGGCACATGAACCCTGTAGCGGTCGAAGACAACCTCTCGATGTCCTGGGGTTCCTGGTATCGAAAGCCCTGCCAATCTTGGAGATGAGGGCGAGCGAAAAAAAAAAAAAAGACAAGGTCTGGACGTCTGTAGACATAACCAGCCTCCCGGATTTCTCGTGGAGTAATACGGCCCAAGATGGAGTGCCGAACCAAGAGTGGCATGATTTGTTGGTTCTGCATTCATCTGCATTCGTCTGGGGGAGGTATCCGTACGGAGCATGTAGACTGCCAGGCATCAGTCAAATGTCACTCGGTGCTGCCACCCCA